GTGTGTGTGTGTGTGTGTGTGTGTGTGTGTGTGTGTGTGTGTGTGTGTGTGTGTGTGTGTGTGTGTGTGTGTGTGTGTGTGTGTGTGTGTGTGTGTGTGTGTGTGTGTGTGGGTGTGCGTCTGCTGGCCGGCGTCTCTGCGTCTTGATGCTGTGGGGGCATGTGCTTGCATACTGTTGGGTTTGCGCACCTGTGTGTTCAGCATCTGTTATTCTTAATATGCCTGCTACGCCCAGTGTTGCGGTCAGATTGGAGACTGGCCTGGTCCAACTCTTCCTCGCTGAGCTCCTCCCCGAGCTTCTCCAGAAGACCCTTGAGCTCCTGCAGCCAGTTGGACATCCAAAAGCTTAACAAGCGATAGGCATCAAGTGTTTCAAGTGTTTGGAGTGGGACATTCTGTAACATGTACTTCTTGCATGGTGGCATGCTTTTGTACAAAGTATTTGCTCTCTCTCTCTTGGAATTTGGCATGCGATGTGGACCATGGAGAACTCAAAATTCGACATCGCACCTTGACATCAATGTAACCACTGCGATCTTCGTCGTAAGCATCAAATTCCTGCGAACGATTCAAGTCCATGCGCGCCCTCCCTAAAGGATCATGGCTCTTCTTCCTTTTACATGGACGAGCGGTTGCGCAAAGTCTGCTAAGCAGCTATGGCCTGCTTCAGGTAGCACAAATTGTTCAGCTGGATGCCCATTTTGTCAGCCATTCCTTGCAGCTCCTCCTTCGACATCTTGTAACCTAAGCGCTCGGCTCTTTAATCGGCTTCAGCAGCTCTACTGGCCATTGAGCGAGTGACGCTTCAAGAAAATCTCGTTGATCTCTTCGTCTGTGGGGCCTAGGCATGGCCCAACACGCCCATACGCGCGCAACCCACGCTGCCCAGTGCCATAGAGTGCCTGGGGTCTGCACCGATATCGTCATCCAGTTCCTTGCCCGCAGCTGTGGAGCAAAATGCGAGCTCTGTAGCAAAGCCCTCTAACTACGCATGCTACGCACGCCGCGACTACAATGGCGCAGCAATACCATTCGCAACCTTCATGCTAGGCATGGTGATGTCTTCATTGCCGAGTGTCCGAATCATCTGATCCAGCTGACTCTTCGTCGGGATCCTGCTCCGGTCTGTTGGCATGCGGCCCGTTGTACTTGTGGCTATCTGCATACATGAGCTACACTCCATGGCTCATGCGTCCTTTGTCTTCTCCACAATCTCCTGCCGCAAAAGCAAACAGCCCACCAAATGAGTACATGAACAGCGAGACAAGCACTAAAGAAATCAAACTGGAATTGGACATCGGCATGTAGCAGAGGCGTGAGCTGGAAACCCACGCAAGATTGCAAGCCAGCAAGGCCAAAGTTGGAACCTGGTTTGCTAGGTGGGAATGTGCCTTGCCCGGGCCTAACATTATCCTGTAAGTGCTGGTGGTTGTGGGTAGCGCGATCGGCGGCGACCACTGCTGCAGGTTTTGCACATGTGGTTCCGTCGTCGTTTTCCGACCGCCTTCAGCCGCAGCCACAGCTGCGCCGTTTTCTGTTGATGGTTCGGGGTGCTCTTGCTGCCGTTTTTGCGGCCTTTGCTTTAGGCTTCAGCTGCCATGGCTACTGCACGTTGCCACCGGCAGAAGATGAAGCATGCCTTTGCAATTTCCCAAAGCCGGGCTCCTCATAGTTGAGCTCGCCAGGAGCTGCCTCACCAGTGCCAGTTGCTGAAGTAGGCGCAGCATCTTCCGGGCGAGCCCTCAGACGAGGAGTTTGACTGCAAATACTGCCCTCCAAATGACACAGCGAACAGAGGTATCATTGGCTCGATGCAGTTGGGAGTCTGCTCAGCACCTTGTCCACTTTGCTGGCCTGCCAGGGTTTCATGCTCGTTGCACACTTACTTCCAGCAGGCTGTGGCAGCGGAGCGGTTGCTTTTCGCGCGCACTTCACGCGCACGCGTCAAACTTCTAGCCACCTGCTTGAGACTATCAGGCGATCCTGCGTGAAGCGCATTCAGCTTGGACGCAGACGCGAACTCTGGCAGAAGCGATGCGATGAGGGTATGATCGCCACGGTTGATCCGCCAGGCGAAGTGATCACCATTCAGGTCACTGCACCCGCCACGGGAGATAGCACGAGCTGCGCATTGCAAGCTTCACAAGCCCCATGCTGATGCCCAAGTGTCGTCACCAGCTGCGGCCGTCGCGTATGCCTCCTGGCAAGGATGATTTCGAGTTGGGAAACAGAAAGCAACATGGCCCACATGGCTTCTTACCCATCCGGCTAGAGTCTATAGAGTCCAAGCCGGGACAAACGCGCCTGAAACTCTCGCTGGGTCTCCGCTTGCCGCTGGAGAAGGTTCAGGTGAGCTGACAATGCCTGCTGGAGCTCCGGCAAGGCTACGGCCTTGATCGCTTCTATGATGCGTTCCACTCTGTAGTGCTGCTTGGCCTCCAGTCCCAGGCTTCAATCGGCCGGGAAAATGCGCTCTCAAAAAGGCGGGCCGGGAACTGGTCCTAGCAACCGGGATCTAGCATGCGTCAAACATCGGCGACGCTCGTTCAAATAGGCTAGATGCTTGCCCAAACCAAGGACATTGAATTGAAAGCAGAACTTCAATCTGACACGCGCCGTGACCAACAGGCAAAAAAACACATGTGGGAGTCCTGCAGCTCACAGTGGGCCGTGGTTCTTGACGATGTTTGATGATTTTGTAGTCGCTTTTGAGGTTGCCAATTTCGTTGCTTTGCCGTGTTTCTGTGCCAACCATCTTGTCAGTATGAACGAAGTAGTAGTAAACTTTCGCCGCTCCAGCCCGAAATGCAACTGTTCAGTGCCAAAGTAGCTTCCCAGCTCCGGCTTGCAAGTTGCTGCGGACATCTAGTTCACAAGGCGGTCTTCATCTTTAGCCACATAGACCCAAGCAAGTCGTCAACCGTCGGGCCAGTCAACCCCAGGGTTCCACTTTTGCCCCTTCCTGCTGGTTCAGGCAACTTCTATGCTCAATCGGTCAAACAGTCCTGTGCAAAATGCTCATGACATCACAGCCCAACCCGATTCGGCTCCCAAAGCAGTTGGGAACACGCACGCGCAACCCGCCCACAAATTGGGGCAACTTGTCTGCAATGAGTGCCAAGTGAAATGTTGTGGATCAGGAGCCCACGGGCGATCAAAGCAGAAGCCACACACCTGCCCTGACCCCCCCAACCGCCCCAAAGCCGTGAGGCAGTGATGGCGTCCTGCGCCTTCCGAAGACCGCGATGCGCAGCCTTGGCACAGCGCCTCCACGCCACGAAGTCCGCGTCGGCCGCGGTGCGGCGCCCGCGGCTGGCGAGGTCGGCGATCTCCGCAAGCGTGGGCTCCGGGGCGGACGCCGACGCCAGGGAAGCCAGGCGGGCGCGGATAGCCAAGTCGAAAGCTTCTCCCAGGCTGCCGTCCCGCGAGATGGCTGCCTGACAGTCATCCAACACCTTCTGCAACTCCTTGTCAGGGATGGAACCTGCGCTGGCCATGCTCATTCGACTTTTGGCGCGTTCCAAATACAGCTCCCCACGGTCAGGGTGCAAACGGATGGCCTTCTGCAGGTGCTCAGCGATTGCAAATCGTTGGAAGCCTGTTTGGCCCTGCTGCACTGCATAAAGTCTCCAAGCCTCTGCCTCAAAGCGATCCATCTTTGCTTTCCACGAGTGGCCTGGCCTCTCTGCGTCCAGACCCCGGCTCCGCCTTGCAATCTGAATGGATGTGAACGCCTCCATGGCGTTCTCAAAGGTGCCCGTAGACAGCAAAGCGACGATGCCGGTGCCCTCGTCATCTTCTTCTTGCAGCGTCCAGTGCGTGCCCAGCTCGATCTGGTTGCCTTGATCATCTTCCTCGGAATCCACACCCAAACCCTCATCAAAAGAAGTGTTCGTCTGTGACGGCTGTGTGGTGCGCGGCTTGAAAGATGGCTGTGGCTTTTGGGCTTCAGGCCTCTTCGGCTTCTGGCCGGCAGCCTTTGCATAGCCTCGTGTGTGACTTGTCCTTTCATCTCTGGTGTTTTGCTCATTGAACGCCTTGGCATGACGACGCGCCCATTCCCATGCATCCTCGTTCCGCCTGGCCGCCCCATCTTCCTGGGGAGGATGCCGCACAGGTTCCTCCTTCTCTGCTTCCCACTCGCTCTGCACCAGGAGAAACAAAGGCTGCGCGGCCAGCCGCCGTCCTTCCGGCTGCTTGTCCGGATGCAATTCCAGCTGCAAGGCCCGCAGCTGAGATCTCCGACTGCTGGGCGCCATGCCGTTGATCTCTCGCAGCTCCCGCTTCAGCTGTGCCATGCGCGACGCAGCCCACGCCTGTGCTTGCTTGAGTTGCCGCTCCTCCGCCTGCGCCCTTTCCTGCCGCACCCGGTCTTGCTCTGCTGCCAGTCGCCGCCGTTCTAACTCCTTAGTGCACATGGTGCACATGCTGCATATGGGTGCACATGATGCACATGGTAGGCTCTCTAGACTTTTGCCAAGCGCGCAAAATTGCTTTGGATCAGCCAAGCCTCCTTGGTAGCCTGCTCTGCCTCCCGCAGCTTTTGCAACTCGTCCAATTCTTGCCGCTTCGCACTCAGTGTCTGAGCATCTTCGCGGTCAGCGCGTGCAACACAGCTTACTGCGCGAGCTGTGTCGCACATCTCGCACACTGACAAAGACACGTCATTGTCCCAGTCACAGTCAAAGCATGTCCACTTCTGGGCCATGGTCTTCAGGAGGCGCTCATGGCCTTTGGCTCCACTTGCTTGGGCCTTGCTAGACAGCTGCTATACATATATATATATATATGTATATGTATCTATAAGTGTGTGTGTGTTGGTTACTCCCTCGAATGAAGACATGGAAACAAATGGTAACCGTCACCCTGATCAAGATTCAGTAAGCGGGGTCGCTGATCGATTGCCCTGGACTGAAGCCTCAAGGCAAGCACATCAAGCAAATGAGTTCTGGCCTTGCGCTGTTGTTCCATCTGTTCGCCGGTGGCGCCGCCGCTTCGCCACAGAGGCGTTTGCCTTGCCAGGCAATGAACAAGCACGACAGCGTGTTAATCAAGGCTGTGCAGGTCAACATGGGAAATGTCAGGTGGGAACAAGCCTCTCAGATTTCACTGCTTTCTAGCGCCATTTGAACGGGCAAAGCAACATATGGCTGTCTTCCTGCCTTGTCGCGCAGTTCTTGCCTGAGGGGCACAGGGAGAGAGGGATGGCACAGACGGATGGCACCACTTTGACTTAGGTGCATCCTAATCTAAGTAACTAGACTATCGCCTCGACCACGGATGGGTCATCAGATCTTCTTCATCATCACTGGAGTCTTCCTCGCGGCCAGCCAACGCAGCCTCGGCTGGTCCATGCTTGCCCCAGAAGCTCTTCAAGCTTTGTGATCCTACTTCCTGCCAACACGTTTGACGATGGGACACTGCCGCCCTCGCGTTGCCCGACTTTGCGCCACAGGCACTCGCTGGTTCGGGCCCTGCTCCAGGAAGGCATTGGCCGCAGAGGGCAGCTCGCTGGGCTGCGCGGCGAGCGAAATGCCAGAATCGCCCATGCCACCATGTTGTCAGATGCTATCAGCTGCCATCAGGCCTTCACCAAGGAGACCGGCTGAGTGTTGGGCTTCTTGGGCTGAAGCGCCAAAACCTGCCCAACCCGACCGATCCGAGCCAGACTGCAAACCCACATGCGAGGGAAGATGCACGTCGAGCCTGATTTCCCACTGTGTACTTGTAATTCCTGGGCTGTCAAACGAACAGAAACGAATCAAACGATGACCCTGGAAGCATGCAAACCTTGAGCTCTTGCAGCCCGAGATGCTTGCTAGGGGTCTTGAAGTGGCGAGCATCCTTTGCGTCTGGAAGGAAGTCTTTCCACTGCGTCAAGGTCTTTTCGATCTGGGCAGGACGCAAAAGTTATGGCCATGCTTGGATGCTCCTCTCAGCACGCTTGCAGGATCTTGCAGGTAAGTGGCATATGTCAGCCATCCAAACCTCGGTGACGCAAGTTGGCATTCCAATTCCGCACCAAAGCCCTCTTGACAAACAGCCAACATGTCTGAACTTATGGTGCGGCAAGGTAGCAAGTTTTCCCCGGTGCTGCCAAATTCTGGAGCAGGTTGGCCACCAAAGCCACGGTTCTCTCGCTCAACCGTCTTGAGGATTGAATGGATCACTGGCCTTCTCTGCAGCACCCAGTACATCAAACAGAACGAATCATGCCGAAAAGGCACATGGATAGCCTACGCAGAACCGGAAAAACAATATCACAGAACCCAAGCCTGCAGCGGTCAATGATCTCACATTGCTGAGATGCCTGAGCAGTCGCGGTCCCAGCACGACGCGCAGTTAGCTGCGGGATGATCCTGCCTGGAGCTTGTTGTCTTCGGTGGACGCTCCAGTACTTTCAATCTGCGCTTTCAGGTCAGTAAGGGCAGCGATCCGCTTCTTCTCACCTCAGCATCACAACGGATGCGAGATTCTTTGAGGCATTGAGGTATGGACTCTCCGCTTCGATCTCTTGCTGGTTTGCCAACTGCTCCTTCCAGGCTCCGGGGTTGGCCACATGCCGCTGACTCCCTCAACGTCCTTCAGCTGACGGTTCTGCTTGTCTAAGGTCTCAATTTCTCTGTTCAACGCATTGACCTCAAAGCGAGTGCACAAACAGGCGCTAGGAAATTAGCTAGAATTTTATGATTGCTTGTCTTCATGTCTGATTCTTCACCGGCTTGGAGGCACAAATGATGCAAACAACACAATGTTGACAGAATGCCTGGGAAATTGCTCAGTTTCTTGCATACGTCAGCAAGCTGAAGTTGCGTTGCTCCAAGGCAACAAAGATCTTCACCTGGGCACTGGCAGCATTGCGCCTTGATCGAGGACTCTAAATGCAAATGGGTGGCAATCTCTTCAATGTCGGAAATGCCAGTTGTTGACTTGATGGTGGCGAAAGCCTGCCAGGGCGCATGCCTTCTGACACACCCCACACCTCCCCTTCGCCATCCTTTTGTAAGGAGTGAAGGCCAGAACACTGTGCAAAAACTGCACTGCAAATTGACTGTGCCTGCATGCAGCCTTCGCACTTCCAGCTCTAGCAATATGCGCCCAGGAGTGGACCGCGCCTGCTCAAAGACCTCGATGTTTTTCTGATGCTGCCGAATGTGCCTGCGGCTCTTGGCTTGACTCATTGCTCAGCGCGTGAGGCGTCCGATGCCCCAAACCTCCGCTGGATGGCGTTGAGGAAGGCCAGCTTTAGGATCCGCCGCATCACCAACGTTGAGTTGAAGTGCTCTTCCTCGTCGGCCTGACGCGGAAGTCTTCAGCAAGTTATCAATTCCACCAGGCATCATGGAAGCGCTTTTGCTGCACCAAGAATGCATGATGATGCCTTGAGGCTGCGAGTCTTGCTGCCCTTTCCATCAAGGTCATTCTTGTCCGACTCCTGCAGAGTGCGATTTATGGCTGCAATTCAGGCCAAGGCAAGCGGATATGTGCCTTCACCATCTGGACGCGCTGTGTGAGCTCTTCCCGCTCTCGTTCCTTGTACTTCACTTGCAACCTTATGCATGGCCGCGCACATGCGCACCAGTCAAAACCTTGTTGTACCTTAGGAGTCATTATTCAGTGGGGCATCATATCACCTTCATAACGCGTCACATTAAAAATTTGACGTTGCGACATTGTTTGCGTGGTAGCTCTCAGTATTGGCAGCGGCTCTTCTGTTTGATGTCACTTACAACTCTCAGCATGCAGCTCTTGCACTTTTCGCTTGAAAGCCTTCCGCTCTTCCTCCACCTGCGAAGGGTGGATGTACATGAACTCTGCTCGAAAAGCTGAACCACACCTGATTCTGTGCAAGCCTACGTGTATGACTTGACTTTCAAGTACAAGTGAGGACCTGCAATCACAAACCTGAATTAAAACTGCAGAGACATTCATACACGGTCGCTTCATACACGGACGCTTCATACACGGACGCTTCATACACGGACGCTTCATACACGGACGCTTCAATGCACGGACGCTTCATACACGGACGTAAGGCCGCGCCTGCTTTTTCAGCGCTGCCATTTTATGCTGGCGCTCCTCCTGCTCTCTTCGCCTGCAGCTTGCGCAATACCAGCAATAGCTGCCTTGCAAAGCAAGGGTGAAAAGTCGTAATGCAAACAGGCTTCGCAGCATCACTCTCCCGGTGGATCTGAGACACAGTACCTTGCACCCCATGCTGGGCAATACACCGCCTGTTCTGAGCTAGCACTGATCACTGTGCAAACCTCAGTGCTAGCTTGGCTGCTCATGTTGTCCTTGATGTCCTTGGCGTTGCGGGATAGCCGAGATGCGTTGTAAGCCCCCTCCCCTATTGAAAGAAAGCGCTACGAAGCTGAAACAAAGCAATGGTAGCAGCTGAGGCAAACACTTGCTGGAGCTTCTTGAACACCTGAAGCAAGCCACAAAAGCCGATTGGGCAACCAAACGGGGCCGATTTAGGCCAACCGGGAAATGGAGCTTTCATTTGTTGGATTTCGTCGTTACGGGGCGCCCGAAGGCAGGGTGTCGCTCCAAGCAAGAGTCCTATGGACTGCAACAAGCACACATTCCTGCAAGCGCCTGGATCAGCTGCAGGCGCTCTCGTCGAACAGCATCTATCCGGCTGCGGCAGTCTGCATTTTCCTTGGTATTCTGCATGAGTGACGTGCCTGCCGAAGCTGAAAGCAAAACCCGTTCTCTCTTGGCATGTGGCATGCATATGGTGATTGCGGTAGCAAAGGCTTCCAGGCGTCTTCTTGAAAACAAATGCTGCCAAGCTTTGCAGGCAAGTTGCATGGTTGAGAAAATTGAGCTTGCTGGTGCTTTGGGCCATCTGATGCTCAAGCTTCTTCACTTGAATGCCCTGACGCAACAATCGACCAAGCAATGCGAAACACTGTAGGCACGCACAGCCTGGCCGTTCGGACCAGGCCGCAGCGCATCCTGCCTGGCCCTCTTTTTGCACCTTGAGAGTCTTCTCTTGACACTCTGCGCGCATCCTGGTGGCATCCTGGGAGACAGAAAGGCACTTCCCGTCCTGAGCCCGCGGTGATTGCTGGCCTCATCCAGCTTGTTGAGGCGCCTCTTCTCAAGTTCGAGCCTTTGAGCCAACAAGGACAAGGACTGTTACACTCACATTTAAACTAAAATTGATCAGGTCACATCTGTGCAGCCATGCATTGCTACCCTTGCTGTCCTGCTGATGGTCTGAGGCTTTGGCTTTCTAGTTGTCGACTCAATTTCGTTGTGCATCCCTAAGTTTACGCAACCGTCGGGGAAGTATCACCAGAACGCTCAAGCATCATGCAGAAGAGGCACGCTGCAAGTGATCCTGCAGGTACCTTGGTCAGAAGTTGAACAACAGAATCCAAAATAGCGGCAAAGCACCTTCCAGAAGAGAAGCACGTAAACAGTCACAAGCCGCCCAAGCCAGCAACTTGCAACCTCAAACACCTTGCACGAAAGCCCAGGGACGCCTGATGAGCAGGCAGGGCCCGCTGCGCTATTCTTTGCGTGGCATCGGCATCGTGGCTGTCCTGCCGCTGCAGTGCCTGGGGCTGAAATTGAAAAAGCCACGGAGAAAAATCCGAAAATTCAAATTTGAAACAAACAAACAAAACGAATGGCCATGGATTCTCTGCGCAACTTACAGCGCCAGCATTTGGACGAGCGGCCATGCTTGCGAGTGCTGTGAAATCTGCACGCGGAGATTGTGTTGATGAAGGGATATGATGATTTTGCGGGCGTCACAATGGGCTGCGTGGCTTGGCTTCAATTGTCTGTGCCGCGCTTGATCCCAAGCCGCAGTGTCAGTCTGCGCGGAGTGGATTGTGGGACCTGGCCAAGCCTTGTGCATGAGACCGATGGCAGGCAACACAAATTGGCACTATTCGCGCCCGCCTGCCTAGCTGAAAGTCACTCAAACTTCGCACGTTGTGGAAGCCGAAGCGCTTCAGCATGTGCTCCTACACCGTGCGTTGCCAGGATCCAATATTTCTGCCTTGTTTCTTGAGGAAATCGCCGGCTCACAATTCCCTGTTACATCAATTGACACCTGCATGCATCTTATGAGCATTGAACAACAAAGGCATTTGCGTGCCACTCAGGCCCTTACGTAAAATCGAGCATCGTTCTCCGGAGCCTCCAGCGAATACGTGGACCTGTGCTTCTGAGTCTTGCGTCAGGACGAAAATGATGGAAAACTTGGTTGGCCAAGTCCCTGATGGAATGCTTCAAGCGCAGCCGACATGGCAAAAATATGCCAAGCCGCCGCGGATAGCTGCAGCTCCTAGGTGCAGTCCAGCTGATTTTCTCCCGACCAATGCCAGTCTTGCAGGCAAGGCACACCACCAGTCCCTTTCGGCTGGACATCCAGTGCCTGACTGACTCTTCCAATTCGCAGGGGCGCAACGTGTTCAACGTATTGCCTGCCGGTCAGCACTCCACGTGGTCAAGCATCGCCATGGCACTTCCCAATATCTACGCCTTGGAGCCTGCGAAGCTGAGCAAAGTCGCAAGCTGTTCGGGACCATTCGGCTTTGCAGCCCACGTGTCAAGGCACTTCTGACGGACACATCTCGTTGCACTTTTTGCAACGCTTTTGCGGCAGCTGGGCCTGAAGGCAACTCCTTGACAACACCCGGCAGCTCAAACCGCATGGAGCCCCACTCCATTTTCTCACGGAGCGCCTATCAGCAACTCATCTGCTTCATTCTCGCCAGACGTCAGCCAAGGAGGCGCCAGATAGTCCGCGGAGCTGGCTTCCCGCAGTAAGTGCAGCAACCAGCCATCCGTGCCGCGGAGATCCCGAATCGCTTCCTGAGACTTCACCTCAGCCTGGAGGCTTGCAAAGCTCTTCTCATTGCGCTTATCATCCTTGGCGTCCCTCAGCCATGTCGACTGCAACGCAGCCAAGCGCAGTCTCAATGGCGACTCTGGCTCTGGGTCCGGGTACTGGGCCCGACCTGTCGCATGGTTCAGCTGCAACCTCTCCCCAAGTCCAATCCCAACATTCAGCTTCATCTCGGCGGCTTCATCGTGCAGGCCGCTGGCAAGCTCAAGCCTTCGTCGTTCGCGCGGCTCACGCGGTCCAAGTGACATGCTTTTGCCTGTGCTCCCGTCTCTCATCGTGTCCATCATTGCCGGCAAAAAAATCGACGTCTCGTCCTTGCTTTTTTCGACACTGCCCAAGCTCAGTGGGAAAGATGCTGCCTCTTCCAAACGCTCTGCCTGCTTTATCTGCTTGGAGATGTGTAGCTTCTCCTGGTCCTGCTTTTCCCCGTCAATTTCTTGCTGCCCGTGTGGCTTGGCTTGCTGCTCCGCCTTCCATTCCGCTTGTTGCTCCCCTCGCGGCTCTGTTTGCTGCTCAGTTTGCTGCTCCGCTTGCAGTTCGACTTGCTGATCCACTTGTAGCTTCTCTGGTGTTCGATTGCGCCCTGGCCCTTGTGTTTCGCCTTTCTGCCCTCGACGTCTACTTTCATGCATCTCGGGTGACGGATTTTGATGCTCTTTTGACTCTTTTGCAGCTAGTGCTGCTGCCACGCCTCCTTGTGCGCTCCAAGCTGACCCGGTCTTGCCAACTGTTGCCAATTCAGGTTGCAGTGCGCTGCTCACACGCTGGCTCGAACGCTTTGGTGCCGAGGCAAGAACCCCTTGGCCAAGTTTCTTTTCCGGAGCTTGTGGGACATCTCCCTCTAAAAGAAATGCGTCGGGAGCCACATTTTTGTTTGGTGCGCTGCCTACCTGTGCAGGCTTGTTTGGCTTGGCAGGGATCTTCCGCTGAAGACCTGGCAGCTTCAAGAGTCTATCATCAAATGGCTTGATCATGGCCAGCCGCGCCTCTGATGCCCTTGTCCTGCACCAGCTTGCGTTGGGATGCATTCGCATTGATCTCATTGATCCTTAAATGGCAGGCTCCGCAAGATCTGGCAGCATGTGTGCGCGCGGGCCAAGCTGTGTCACTCCCCCTTTTGCTGCCAAAAGACGCAGCCGAAAGCTTCTCCGCCTGTGATGATAGCACACTTTGAATAATGGAGGGCAGAAAGTACCTGAGACTGGTTCGCCCTGGGGTAATGCTGTAGACTCGTACATGCGGCTTGGGTGCTGGACCATTCCGGTCTGGAACCGGGCCCGGGCCATCGCCACAACTTTGGTCTTCCGCTCGGGCTGCAACTCGTCCCGGGCCTCACTTGAAAAAACGAGAATCTCCCAAGCGACTCGAACTTTCTGCGCGCCAAGTCGCCATGCTCATGGCAAAGGCAACCGATTTGCTGCAACCTGCCGGAATGTGGCAAGCCCGCAAAATTTCACCAGGCCTGAGTGCAACGCCCGCCTTCATGCGCGGGCAAGCCTTCCCAGGAGACGGCTGCTGGCTGCCAAAGCACGATGCAGCTCCAGGCCGGCGCGCCCGGCACCTGAAAGTTGCAAACGGCTTCTCCCAACGCGCCTTGGGCAGGGACGGCTTCTGTGAATGCATCCAAGTGTCGCATTCGACGCCATGTTTGTCGTACGACTGCTGCGCATCCCAAAACAAGAAATCTTGACTCGCCAAACCCATGAGGCCCTCGAAGGTGAAGGAGACAAAATCGTGGCTGCGTGAGCGATACTTTTTCAGGGTGGCGCCGGCAATCTCATCCCACTTGGCACGCTCCTTGGGGTCGTCCACCAGGGCGAACACGGTCTCAAGCGGTGCAGACAGGGTAGCCTCGCACCGGCCGCGTTCCATCACGCGATCTGGATTGGTGCGGCTCGGCTCTGAGAATCGGTGTATGGTCAGCTGTCCAGACACTGACTTCTCCCACTCCTCTCCTGGAAGCCGGTCAGTCCAGCTGAAAAGGTCTCTCAGCTCAGACGATGAAACTGGCGTCGCATGGTTCGGGCGGAAGGGCAGGAGCTCAGGACTACCTTGGCCTTGCGCCATTCATCTTGCAGCTAAGCCGCAAAGCTCGAAGGGCGCGCATCGGCCCAGGCATTGCCGGCCCAGAGGGCACGCCCCTCTTCACCTCTTGAGGCCACGCATGGATCCGCAAAGGTGCAGCAAAAGCAGCCCTTACAGAGAAAGACTGCCAGGGTTGCCGTGTGCACCTGCTTTATGCTCAATGTTCCCAACCGTGTGTTTCAAGCGGCTGAAGTTGACGCATGCATCAGAGACGAACAACATGCGGCCCTTCAATCGCACCACGATTTTCTGGCCCAGCGCAATGTCATGCCCCCCCCCCTGCCCCCCGCTTCTGCATATGACAACAAAGGCCTTGCACATGTCAGCTTGCATTCTGCAAACATCTTGCAACTCAATGCCTCCACTTGGCAGGACAGCTGCGCAGCGAATGAAAGGATGCCAAATGTGCAGCAGACATCTTGTCAGGCTGCGAAGCTGTGGAAGAGCGCGACCGCGGCAATGCTGAAGACTCCGAACCCCGTCTGGCAAAGACCGGCTCGCCGAATCCATCGAACCGTCCTCGCGTCGCGGGACCCAAACACAAAAGCCCCAAGTCACATGTTGGCTGTGACAGCAATCCTGACGGACTGAGGGGCGACCGCTGTGATGCAGCGTCCATGCTCCTCAGCGATACCAAAGCTGCCCTGGCCGATAGAAAAACAGAATATATATATATATATGTATGTATGTATGTATTTACAAACTTGTAGGCAGAAAGATGTGTATGTGTAAATATGTAACATATATATATATATACATATGAATACACACGTAACGTATATATTACATATCATATGCATTTAGTTGTGTGTGTATGTGTTAACTTTCTGAGGCTCCTTGAAATTCGGACTGCTAGCAGTGTGACATTGCAAGCGCAGTGGATGACTGACAAACGGAAGTCTGAAGAGACACTATCTGAGGCCCCCGTTGAACGTCTCATTTTGGACATGCACGCAATTGTTCATCGATGTAGCGGATTGTCAGCAGAGATGGGCAGGCCAAAAGCATACACTTAGAGGCCCCCCTACCGACTGGTGAACATTATATAATATAACTGTGGGGGTACAAGCCCCTGCCTGTTTCAACTCAGAATGTGGGACGAATGTTGGCTTACACCGCACTGTTGCAGCACCGCCGAATGCTTGGGAACCAAGCGGCTGCGGACTCTGAGGGCTTGCCAGTCGCGGCGACCGGATGGAGGCAGACCATCGCTGACCCGGAACAGGCACGGTGGTAGGCTCGGCCAAAACTTGGCGCTGGCCGCGCTCGCCGAGCTCGGGGCCCTGCGGCTGAATCGGCTGAATCTCTGGAGATGCCAAGCCTGGTGACATGCAGCTTGAAGAGCGTCTTTCCAGGATTGATCTCCGTGCATGTGCTGCCGCGTAGGAGCCCGCATTCTTCCCTGTCTCAACCTGCATGCCAGGTTTGCGAGCTCACAGAATTGAGCGAAAAGACTTCTTCCAGGCCAGGCATAACAAGCAATACAAGATGCCTGCTGGTCCTGCGTTTGCTCCACCTGCTTCGACAAGGCGGCACAGATCGCTTCTGCCCGCTTTAAGCAGGCAGCAGTGCCTGCACAGCAACCCAGCAAAGCACCATTGCAGCTGGTAAGCCCGTAGCAGTCCTGTCGGGTGTTGCGCGGCCAGGCGGAAGCGCTCCCTCTCCTGGGCCCGAACCCTCAACGCTATGACCATCGTCCACCCTGTCACTTGCGGCCAAGGGGCTAGCAGCAAAGCTTCCACAACAGCCATCGCATCACGATGGATGAGCTCCTGCCATCGCTCATCTCGGCAAAGCTCCTGCAAAGGCAACTAGGAATGCGCCAAACAGTAAGCCCGCACCACAAAAAACCAGGCACGCAGCCTGCGTGTCGGTTCGAAAAGCCAAAGTCTCGTCCAGCAGCTGCAGCGGTTCCTGAGATCAGCTTGGCTTCCGGGCAAGCGGCCGCACAATCAATCTCAACCCAGAATCTATGCAAAGCTCGGAGTGCCCTGATTCCTTGCTAGACTCGACTTGCATGCCTCTGGGGTATACTCAAGCACGTGCCACTGGTAGTTTCCGCACAATGCTCTCCCGCCGCCCCCTGCTTTCTGCAACACACAAAGAGACACCTGCTGCTCAAGCCAATGCTGACTTCCAGCCAAGGATCAGCATAAGGAGATTGCAGACGTCTCATGAAGCACGTCTTCCTAAGTGGATCACTGCTGGAGTTGCTTGCAACTCGGGGACAACCAGCCCAACAGCCACAATGCATTTCTTGAAGCCAACGAGCCAAGGCACTCGACTTCAAGCCGCAAGTCTCTGGCGTCAGAGTGTGAGGGCTCGGTCGCAGACAGAAGCTGGGACACGAGTTCATTCTGCACAGTCACCAGGCTTCTCCATCTGCCTGGCAGACTGACAGGCTGGCATGGAGTCACTGATCACTCAGGTTGTTTGGATAGATTCAGGGTGAGAAATCCCGCCTTGCTCTGTAGATTGACCTCTGCGCTTTGTGATTTCGGCTTGGATCCGGAGTGCATGATTCTCCGTTTCCAGCTGTGCCAAACGCGCAGCTTGCTGCTGAATGATCCGTGCCCACACCGCATCCGCGGCCGCCACTCGTGAGGCCCTCTCCAACTCCATCTGCGCCACAGAACTGCCAACGGCTTCCGCTGCCTGCCGTGCGTTTCGCTCAGCTGCTATCAGAAGCTCCTCGCCACAAGCGGACACTGTGTGCCGCAGGAGGGCTGCACACTCCGCGCCAGAGAGAGGGGCCGTGGCCGGCTCGGACGCATGAGCCTCGTGAGCCCCATGAGTAGCCACATGAGCCACATGAGTCCTATGCGGGGCCTCGCAAGGCTCGGCCTCGGGAGTCTTCCCGTTTGGGCTGTAAACTATCTCCATAGCCCTGCCAGCTGATGCCAGCGCAGTCCGAAGCCGTCTGAGCTCTGCATCTTGCATGGCGACTCGCTCTTCAAGCCAGCGCTGCTTCGCTTGCGCCTCAGCCTCTCTCATCCGCAGCTCCACCATCTCACCTTCTTGCCCAGGACTGTGTGGGGAAAATCCATCCTTCAGAGACACCGGTGAGAACTCGATTTCTTTTGTTTCTTGCATCTCTTTCTCCTTCCTATCCTCCCAGATTTCCGAGCGGCTGATGGAGCCCTTTGATCTCTTAGACATGGGCGAGGTGGACTTGGAGCTGGGGGATCTCGGGGATCTCGGGGACCGGTCGCTCTGCAAGGAGCTGCGGCTCCCGAAGCGCTGCACGCGCCCAAGCTCGCTCAAGCCCGACCGCAAGCGGTCTAAGGCCAGGAAAGGGTCCGTGTTGGGCGGAGCCCCCGGGCTCCCCACCTCAATGCCCAGTCGCTCAGCTGCTCGCCGTTCTGTGGCCAAAACGTGGGAGGACGAGCGCATTGTGGCATTGGGCTCGCAGGAACATGGCTTGGCAAAGCTAGGCGGGCATTGTGGCACACCGACAGTCACAACTTATTGAAGGGGCGCATGTGCCCAAGTGAAGAATTGCGACTTTGCATCTGGTCATCCAGTGTATGTGTTGCCCGTGTCTACAAGATTCATGCTGAAGCTTCTCAAGCAAAATCATCAGCAAACTGAGTGATCAACAAGTAACAAAATCAAGCCTGCCCAAGGCGTGGCTGTCATTGCCCATGCAGGCTTGCAGGCAAGCTGATGCCAAATCCGCAGAATCATATGCCTTTTTCTCCTTTGAGGGCGACACAGCACAACCCATCCATCCAATGAGCCAACATGTCACTTGGCAAAAGCACGTTTCGAGCCAATCGGTAGGTGTGCTTCGTCTGCACTCCTCCTTGCGAATGGTCCCAGGCTGTCAGTCACCATCACCAGCCTTCAGTTCGAGCATTCATTCCAGCAGAATTCAGCAGAGCTTGTCCATCTAGTGGCTTGCTTTTGCCAGCAAAAGAGCCTGCTATGAATTTGCAGCGCGCTTGCAGCAAGCAATCCCCATGCTGATGTGACTGCCTTGCAGACACCTGAAGCGAGTAAAGCGCTCCAGCTCCAACTCCGTCTGTGCAGCTTTGCATGCTTGAAGGGGTGGTGGCAGTCCATGAAGGCACTCCATCATCCTCAAAGAGCCAAAGCAACTGCCGCTGAAGGATGAATTTGTCAGACCTTCACAACCTGGCCGAGCAGGTGAAGGTGGACACATCCCAAGCACTTCGCATCGCCCAGAACAGTTGGCTCATTGCATCCCAAGCACTCTCTCTCTCTCTCTCTTTCTGTCTCTCTCCCCCTCGTGCCATCGAACGTCCCATCCGGTGAAGCGAAGGGCGTTGCGCGTTGCGCTGGGCAAATCTTCGTTTACCAGTGACTGCCACCTTCTGCCAAGGGGCAGGTGAACTCGACGCTGTTGCGCCCTCTTCTGCTCCAGCTGCCGGCTGAGGGCTTCAAGTCGCAGAGCCTCACCTGAGGACTTCGAATGCGCTTCGCAACCCTGGGCCATGACACAAGCCCAAGAAGAAAAAACATCAGAATCATGAAGACTCAAATGCAGCGCTTGCCACGGCTTCGCACTCTTGAGCCACTTCCTTCTGCGTCTGCTGACCTTGTCAACTTGAATCGGCATCATCTCGAACCATTGAAACACGCCAAGGTGTTGCATCATGAGACCAACCCGGAGAAAAACTGCTGCAAATGCATTTGAACTGCGCATGGCCATTCCATGAATAACTTGATTCTGCTGGAGCCCTGCTACTTTGCACGCTCTGAGTGCTGGGTGTCCCAAGCGGGGCATCAAGGACAAAGCCGAGAAACCAAACCCATGGTGTGGGTGAAAAATACTGAAGTCGACCACAAAGAAGGGTTCGAAGAAGAATGTATAAGAATTGGCAAAGCCAGCCAAAGAGCAAAACATGTAGCCAGTAGTTGGAAAAGGCTGAAGCTGAGAAGTGAAACATGCAGCCGAGAGCACAAGAAGCAAACGGAGAACATCCTGCAATGTGTCTCATAAAGGTTGGCTCATTGGATGGGGCGAGCACGTGGCCGAGTGCTATAGAACGGGCTGGGGCGGATGCGCCCCAAGAAATGCTACGCCTCGAGCTCGGCAGCACAGCAGTAGCGGCGGCGAAGGCAGCCCATTTACATCCCCAAGCCCATCCATGAGGTTGGACGGAGGAATCGAAGGATTCTTTTCAGCCCAGACTTCTTGGACAGTGGGAATCACTGGCCCTATTGCCTGCCAAAGCAAGAGGGGTCCGAGATGATTCTGAAATTCTAGCCTGACGGTTGCCAATAGTCCAAGCTTTCGCACCAAAGCAAAGCAAACGGTGCCTCCACACTGAACGCTGCACGCCAGACGAGGGCCTCACCCCCCATTGCTGGCCAGCAACGCTCCAGAGTTCTCGATGGTTTTCTTCTTGGAGAGGTGCAGTGCATCGAGGAGGGCCACTTCCGCCTGTTCCAAATATGCAAACACTATGCTCGTGCGACTCACGCAGCGAAGGAATCAAAAAAAGAGAGTTACAGTATCAGCACACTTGGCCTGACCCAATCCATCACGTGGCTCACTGTGGACAGGGCCATCGGTTTCCTCTTCAAGGTCTTCCTTCACCTCCGCCTTTTGATCTGATTTTGAAGACTTTGCTCCCAAACGCTGCCGAAGGTTAGAGGACACTCGGCCAATCCTCGTGAGTCCATCCAAGTCATTCAGCAATGACGAGGAGCTGCGCCCGCCAAGCACGCGAGCTGACAAGGCTTGCTCCCACGACTCATCGAATCGCTCTGGCGCAACCTCCCCGCACTTTCGCAAGGCCCTCGCGAACTCCGAGGATTTTCTTTGCAAAGGCCGCTGCCTCTTTTCCTGTGGCCTCTGCTCCAGCTCAACCTCCCCAAAAATCTCGTCCACTATTCCGGAGCTGGGGGCTGCAGTTGCCGCTCTCCGCTGCCGTTTGGATCTCTTTTCCAGGCGTGGGTCCTCCAAATCATCGATCCAGCCTCCCTCGCTTGCACCACTACTTGCAGAAACTGCGTCGAAGTCCTTGACGGGATCCTTGGTTCCTATGTCTATGCCACTTTGAGCATCCAAGGCTGGAACGGGCATGGCACCACTCTTCTGACTCCAGGAGGGTGCTGCCTCACTCGCCTCACTTGCAATTCTCTCTTGGGCTTTGAGATTCCTCGCCGTCAAAGGTAGAATGTTGGCGCCATACATGGGCACTTCGTCATCTAGCTCAAGCTGCATCTGGAAAGAATTCGACCGCGATGCCCGGGTATCCTGGGTCGCATCATCATGTCCTTCGCCCTGGCCTTTAGCCAGCCCTCGCCTCACAACAAACGCAAAGGCGGTGCCAAAGCCTGACTCGTCGCCTGAAACATGGGAGCCATCTGATACGCCTTCCAAGTCGGCGATGCCATAAGCAGCCGCACGCTTCTGCTCCTTGATGTCCCACTTTCCGCGGCCACTTCGGCCGCTCGCACTTGAGACTTCAGATTCCCGACCATCTTCACCCGAAGCGCTGGCCCCATCTCTTGGAAGCCATTCCCGCGGATTGCTCCGCATAGATGCCATCACATCTGCCATCACTTTGCGTTGCGGGCGTGTCAGCGCTCTGCTCCTTGCAACTCGCACACCTTGGGTCCTGGGTGCGAAGAGCTCCTCTACACCCCCCGCTTTGGGCTGAGGCTTTGATGGTTTTGGACCAGTGGCTTCAACTTTGGTGTTTTCGCGATCTTGCCCAGTATGCAGCTGTCGTTGTAACATTTGCGCAAGCGATTGCACAGATCTTGATGGATGGTGCAAAGCCGCTTCTGCTACCTGGAGAGCCCCGGCTGCAAGCACCAAAGGCCGCAGCGAGGACTCGCACGCCAAGTTGTGCAGCAAACCGCAGCCTTGTTGTTGCAACTCCTGGCTCTGCGGGTGCAACAGCAGCGCAGCAACCGCCATCTCCAGCCCTCCACCCTCACAAATCGCTCGCTTGTTCTCTGAGAAGTGGGAGGTCAGATTGCACAAAGCCGCTATGGCTTGCATGTTGACATCCGCGTCTGTCCGATGTCTTGCCATTGCCTCACACAACTGACGGACCCCATCCTGCGCCACAATGGACACCTTGTTCTCAGGCACGCCCAAGGCCAAACTGCGCAGCACCGCGCACGCCATCTGAACAAGCTCCGGTTCGAAGGGAAAGTTCCGCATTGAAGAAATCACAGCCCGAATGCAACCTGCACGTGCAGCCCTCACTTTGGTGTCATGGCGGTTGGCCATGAGATTGCATAGGGCAGCACAGCCATTTTCTTGAATCTCCAAATCATGGGGAAAGCTGACCATGCTCTTCACCATCAGTTCAATGCCGCCAGACTTCGTGATCATGCGCCTGTTGATGCCTCGCCTCAGCCACTTTATGTCATGCCTTGACACAAGCCTTATCTCAAAGCAGCGCTTCTGCGCTGCAAGCGTGCTCCTGCCGCCAAATGGCATTGTCAGCTGGATCTCTCCGTCTTGTCTGACTTCCCGACGATTGTCGCCGATTTCTATAGCCAAATGACGCAGCGCTCCGGTTCCCCACTGCTGTATCTCAGGGCACTGTGGGAAGGAGTCCATGGCCTAAGTTGCTTTTGCATTGCTCAAACTCAAAAATGCCCCAGCGGACTCTTTCAATCCGCGTGGCAAACAGAAGCCTGCCGATCCCACCCACATGAGCGATATCCACAGAGTTGTTGTCCTGGCAGTTGGACTAACACGCATTTCTCTGATAGCCAGCTGCACTTGCACAGCAGCTTCAGCTGTGACTGCCTTATCCAGACTCCCAGCTCGAAAGCAGGAGAGTGCATACAGGCAGCCACATCCATGCATTTGCCTGGGCCGGTTGCCAACTATCAAAACACTACTGCTGCTCTGCATGTGTTTCTACCAGATATTTCGCCAAGTAAGCGTGCGGCAAGGTCATGCTGTCAGCATGCGCCGCCATAGCATTGACAATTTCCTTGATGCCACCATTCTGGGCCACAATCTGTCGACCCCTAGGCAGAGTCGGGCACAGCACTGACTCTGAGCCACCTGAAGTAAGCGCCAGGCTTTGCCGCGTCGCGGGTAAACTCAAAGATCATGACCAAGGCATGGGTTGCAACCTGCGATGCGCGCACGCTGTTGCACAAGGGATAAGCACGCAATCGAATGAGCAAACAGAAAATGTGGAAGGTCTCCAGCTGTCAAACAATTTACCTTGAGAGCCCTACCTCCGAATTGGGCTGCATCAACTGAAGGATCTTCAGGATGGTGGGCAGCTGGCTAACGTCGTCCTTGCTCACACCATTCAAGTACTCCTGCAAGGTCAAGATATTAGGGCCATGGAACGTAAGGATGCTTCGTGCCAACTACGCGCCTTGACCCGCACCACACCTTGCTGCATCTTGGGATCCATGGTCATTTGGGCAGCTGCTGAAACTCTCGCAGGCGTCAAGTCCACAGGTCCGCCCTTGAGAATGCCACCCGTGGGCTTAATACTGTGATGTAGAGGCACGTGCCGCCCTTCTTCATCATCTGCTTCATGCTCATCCTGGAGCAAGGCGGTCCTCATCTCCTGATCTTTCCACCCCATCGGGTCTTTTAATGTCTTCAGCAGTCTGCCCACACCGCCTGTGTTGCGCTCGTCGTCCACATCCTCATCTCGAAACCGGAACCTCTTGTCTGGGGAGTCGTCAGGGCTGTGCTCCGACAGTGCTGCTTTGCCACCCTTGCCCGTGCCCTTGCTACTCATGCTTGCCGGCAACGTTGCTGCACGCATGGCTTTTCTTTGGCGCTGTTGAGCGCGGTCTGCTTGTCTATCAAGTAAATCTGAAAGAGCTGGTGGCATATGAATCCCGGATGCCTTGTACGAGTCCTGAAGTGCCTCCTGCAAACAAACGATAAGGCTGTCCTTCACACGCAGGTGGGTTTTGCGGTAGTAGGCCACTGGAGCTCTTTTCAGAAAGCGAAATTCATCTCTCCAGCTGCTGTACCTCGAAGCAGGAGGGACGAGCATTCTCAGAGAGTGTTGAAAGCCAAGCGGCTCTTCTGGCGGGTGATGGTCCCCGTTGTAGAAAGGAACAATTGGTATGTTTGCTGCATCAGCCCACTGAAGCTCCTGGCTTTGAACTCATGCCATGGCCTACCACAAAGCTTCTACCCCCGCCTGGTGCATCCCGTTGGGGTCCAAAAGGGCTGACCGGTTGACAATGCCAACCAAGACGCGAGAGCCCACAACGTCACTCTTCAGTTTTCGCCTTGCTGCATGCATTGACCGGGCCAGTCACTCAAATACAAAATTGATCCCAAACACTTGCGAAAAACATTGCCAATTGTCCTGCCAGTTGCTCGTCCAAGATTCGGGAAAGGTTTGTGGGGTCAAAGCGCGTAGTCAAGTTCAGAGAATCACACATCTCCGCGATCCAGGAGGCAAACTGCTGCGAGAATTCATCAAACCTGATACCCAAATGACATACAACAGGTTCAGTTGAGTTCCAGTTGGTCGGTACAGTTGGTGCCCGCACATCTTCATCCGCCCGTGTCTCACCTCTTTCCGCCAAACAGACCAAAGTTTGTCAGGATTTTCAAACATGGCGAAATCGGCAGAAGTGCAAGTGCTCAACCCTGCATTGTATCAGACTAAAAGCTTGCCGCCAAGAGGGAGTACAGGATGGAAACTGGCAAGGACGATTAAAGCATGATGCCAGCAAAGCCTAATCTGACCCAAACCTTGAACCCACCCTCAACCTGTAAAACGACCCTAAAACCAAGTCCTTGACATACCCTAACCAAGCCTAAACCAACGCTGCCCAAAAATCCACCCTAAACAACTCCCAGCCTAAGCCTAAGCTGCCATAGATCAACCGCAACCATCATTCAAAACGTTGAACCATCCCCCAAGCCCGAACCTCAAACTTGGGGCATCTCAGCGTCAGTTTCCAATTCTGAGATCCAGTTTCTGCCTGCGTTGCAGGCAACTTCAACTGCACCCTGCTTACAACAGCACCCACAGCAGCACCAGCGCCGGCCCCTGAACAGCACCATTTCACCCAAAAATCATTTGCAAACACCGGAGCCTGCACCAGACACTGATCAAACAATGGATGCTACCGGGGGGCTGTTCCTCGCCATCATCTAGGCCAGATGAATGATGCGAAATAAAGACCTGCACTTGTCAGCCACACTGCCGCAACACGTCAATGACCACATTGACAAGGGGCGTCGTAGCGCTTTGGCCCCTTCGGCGTTGCAACCTTGCAGCCATGAAGGGACAAGCTGTCTGAGCTAGCAAGCTCCAGTGTCGAGTCAAGCTGCGTCATCTTGTGGCTGACTTGCCTTGGCTCACAGTCCTCACAAGCTCAAGCCTGCAGTAATACAAGCCCTCAGGCACAGGGGTCACAAGTGAAACTCATGCTGCCCCTCACAGCTGCCAAGGCACGCAACCTCCCATTCATCTGCCCTGTTTGCCCCGCTGGCTCCGAAGGTCAGCATGCGGCCCGTCCGAGAAATGTTTGGTGCAATCCTTGCTTGGCATGTCAAGCTTGAACAAGATGTTGGATTGTTGCCCTGGGTTGCGTGCCACGCCGGGAAATCATTGGTAGCTGCCGGCAGTAGAGAGCCGAGATTGCTGAGTGGCGCTGGTATCCACTCAAAGCTGGTTCTGCAACTCTGAACGCTCACAAATTGCAAGGCTCTTGCTCTCGTTCATTTTGCCACACCAAAGCAGCATGAAGTAGCCAGCTTGTTCAGCAGCTACCCCTCGTTCTCTGGCAGGATTTACCCGGCTGTGAACATGGCAAACCAATGAGGCAAACGATGAGCGGTTGCAGGCATGCAAGTAACAAACGACCCTTGATCATAATATACTCCTAGCCCTTCCATCACACGAAGTCAAACAGTCCCGGACCTGCAGCACGTCCTCGCCAGCCGCTTTGCTCGCTGCCGACGCTTCTTCTCCAAGGGGTTGCACGAAGAAGTCGCCCGCGGGATCCCTGCGGGCATCCCCTGAGTAGACCAATGTCTCATGCCATCGGCCCCATCGGAAGCTGAGATCCTGGAGCTGGCTTTGGAGAATCTCCCGAAACGCGAGGAATCGTCAGGACCTTGGCGTGCAAGACCTCTGCCTGGCAAAAGCCTCCTAGAGACCTTGCAAAAGCCCGACTGGGCCCAGCACATCGAGGCGTATCTTGTTTTTGCTCGAAGTGACCGGGCCAACGGGCCACAAGAGGTGAAGGCAATTTGGCTCGCGTCATGAGGGCTGCGAATGTGCATATCAACCATGTCAACCATGCATGCAACTGGACGTGCGGTGTCAAGTGAGCTGACAATGCCGAAGAATCGTAAACATCGACAATGACATCAGAGGTGATTGCTGCTTGTCTGGAAGGGATGGGCTCACCATGAGATCCTGAATCACAAAGTTGGCATTGGGGCCATCTTACAATGAGGTGGCAGTGGTTCCGAGCCAAAGCACAGGCCATTCATGACTTGCCATGTTTCCTGCTACTAGACCCCTGGACCCACACAAACACACACGCACACACGCACACACGCACACACGCACACACGCACACACGCACACACGCGCACCCCTACAAACACACAAACACACACACAAACAAACACACACACACACACACACACACACACACACACACACACACACACACACACACACACACACACACACACACACTTGAACACACACACACACACACACACACACACACACACACACACACACACACACACACACACACACACACACACACGCACACACGCACACACGCACACACGCACACACGCACACACGCACACACGCGCACACGCACACGCACGCGCACACGCACACGCACACGCACACGCACACGCACACGCACACGCACACGCAAATGCTCGCCGACATGCGAAAGCACTGTAGGATGCTGCCTGATTTTCACGCAATGGGGGTAGTGGTTACGTCCAGCCAAGGCATGCTTTGAGCATGGTGGTTGAGCAGCTTCGAAGCTATGGAGCCTGTACAAAGCTACAGCTGTGTGCAACGCAGCCTGGCCAGATGCCTGGACGAAAGCAAGCAAGGTGCAAGGTCCAAATTATCATCAAGCATCACATCTGGCAGACCGGAACTGCAACCAAAAAACGTGCAGTGCGGCAGCACATCGGCTGCCTGCAGAATTGTCCTCCCCCTTGCCCGAGCAAACGAAAAGGATGCAGCCCGAGCGGTGTTGATTAGCTTGACCCTTGTGGTCGTCAGCACCTGGTTCCTACAGGTTGGGCTATGCAGTGCAGAAAAACCCGCGGCTAAAGGCTAGTTTGATCAGGCATGTCAGGCATGCTTGCAGTCATTACCCTGAAAGCATCACGCTTGGCCTTCTGACGGCGTTTCTTCTCACCTCGATCGCACAAATGGCAGAATGGACACGCTGCCCCATGGCTGCAGCCCTTTGTGTGCACAAAAGCGCATGGCTGGCACTCGCCAGTAGCATGACCTTTGGATCCCACGCTGGGTAATGACGGCGAAATTCGCCCATCTTCCTCAGCGGCAGCCTCAGTCGAGGCCTCATGCCAGTCGGAGTCGGACAGCCAGAGCTCATGCATCTTGGGGCCAGATTGGCGAAGAGCACTGTCCAAACGGATGACCACCTTCCCGTGCGCATTGCTGTTTTCTGCCGGCTCCTGCAACACCACCCTTTATGCTTAATTCCCGTCAACATCTCATACATGACTACGCGCAAGCCTCATCCTGGTGCTAAATAACCTTTGATAAGCTCTCCTCAAAGCGCATGCGACCAATGTGTTGAGCAGGGCAGGACGCGACAGCCCGATCGTCCAACGCATCTTCTTCAGGGCTTGCCACGTGGATGAAAGTGTCTCGAACTTGCACGTAGTTGGGAGGATAAGAGAGCAAATCCTGAGTGTGCCGGGTCTTGGTGGCTTTGCGTGTCGCCAATGCAGCCATGGAGCCAAATCACCGGGGATCCGGATCTCCAACTTCGGCGCTCGGCTGCCCGACTGCTCTGATTTCAATGTCGCCATGGCGTGCCGTCCTATGCTCTACCTCTCGCCCTACAGGTGCAACCGCTTGAGAAATGAGAGCAAGCATGTTGCTTTCAGGTATTGACCCAGCGCCTGCTGGCCCGCTAATCAACCAGTAGAGACACACGGTTGGGATAGTGACTGTGTTCATCGCAGAGGTCAAGTGACTCCCACTGAATCAAAGCAAATCAGCCCTGGCAGAACCAGCGGAGCTGCCCGGAGATCAGAATAAAACAAAGTTCGACATTGTTGGACGCGCCTTTTTCATGCAGGGCATGACGCTATCTTCAGCTACTTGCAGTGAAATTATGACTGGCAGAGCGCCACGTGATCCAAACAACGCCATTTTCCTGCATCACTTCTGGATTGCTCATGACTGACCACCTGTTCCTAAGGTGCCCTCCAGTCACTGTGCGGAAAAGCTGCGTTAGCTTTCTTCACAAAATGCAATGCAATTAAAGGCAGAGCCTACGCCCAGTGACACCAAACACTTGGACTCCGGCCCTTTGCAAATCTATCCCTCTTCTCTCATGCGCCCCCTTTCAGGGAGGCTTTCTTTTGCTTCTGTCGCCGTTTTTTCTCCCCACGGTCACACAAGTGGCAAAACGTACACATGGCGCCATTGAGGCAACCTTTTGCATAGAAAAAGCCGCAAGGCTTGCACATTCCCGCAGCATGGCCCTCAGACCCAATGCTTGGAAGCTCTGACCCGGGGAGCGCAGGCACGGGGGGCTTTGGGATGAAATACTGCGGCACATGCGAATGTGATACCGGCAACGCATGTGGAGGCACAAGTGGGGGTGCCTGCAGGGGCGGCTGCGGGGGCAAATGCGGGAGCGCATGCGGCGGTGCCTTCGGCGGTGCATGCGGTGGTGCGCACGAAGGTACGTAGGGAGGTGCCGCATGTGGGGCGTGCGGCACCACGTTCGATGTTGAAAGCATCCCCTGCGCACCTTGCCGACGATCTCCAATCACCCCCACCGGCGCTGCCGTGCTGCGGCTTGGCACGGATTCAAGAGCTTCCTCCAAACAAATGACAGGCCGAGCAGCGTCCTGCAATGCAAGCAACAAGGCTACAAGCCGACACTCCAAATGCTAATGCTCAAAATGCTGCTTCACAAATGTCCTTGGAACGCGAGGGGACCTCGTCGTCGAAGAGATTGCATCGCGAAAGCCACCCAATGTGGCTCGCAGGACAGGACACTGCTGGCCGTCCTCTGTGTGCCTCTTGAGCTTCTGGACTTGCCACATGTATGAAGGTATTCCGCACCTCCACAGCTTCAGGTGGATACGCTGCAAAGTCCTCAGAAGGTTCAGGTGCAAAGCGGACGTTTTGCTGCGACTGTGCTGTTTAGTTTAGGCAGGAGTCTGGCTCCACATCCGGGAGGACAATTTCCATGTTGGGCCAGTCTCTGCGACCGAGTGCAGGCCCGCCCTGTTTCTCGCTCGGCGGGGCAAACAAGCTGAAGGCGCCCTCGGTTTCCAATGGAAATGATGCCATGGCGGACATGCTCCCGTACTCGAGCAGCTGAATGAGGAAGCATCGGAGAGCACCGTGCAGACACGCACGTGCAGCATTAACAGTGTCATATTAACAGCAACTAGTTCACCTGCAACCAGCTGGTTTTGGCGCCTTCACTTATTTCAAAGGTGCCAATTGGCGGCAATTTCCGAAACACCACTTTCAGGATCCAGCAGTTGCTTCGCAAACTAGTGGAAATGAAAAACAAGCAAGTGCACAAACCGTTGCACGTTGTCACTACTGCAAGCCGGGCATTCTACTGTACAAATTGTACGTATCAACGACATCAAACCTCAGGCTGCTTGGTCTGGTCCAGGGCAAGATCATGGGCACTCAAATGCGTAAAACTTCCGTATAGTGAGGCTCGCATAGCAGGATAGCGTCCGCGGTACTCCTTGCATCTCACATGCTTCGGGGGTCTGGCACCCTATCGCGAGCATTCCCCAGCATACCATGTCTTCTCAATGAATGAAAATAACACGGGGCACGATGGCTTTTTTGGGGGTGGTTTTCCCAGGCGCACAGTGCCTTCTCAACTTTTTGAGACGGCACGCTTCTCTGGGGAGCCCACAACATCCAGAGGACGCGCATTCCAGAATTTTGAATGCTGGCATGCTAAGCGCAAAGCACAGCCGAAAGGTGCATCGATGGAACACGACAAGCACAGTCTGCTCTTACAAATGCAATCGACCAACTGGCAAACGGACATGAAGAGCACAGCATGGTGAATGTACTGTATAGAGCTAGACGTATCAATATTCACGTCAAGGATCCAAAGGAAACAGCCGCACCGCGCTGGTCACGAAGGGATATCTCAAAAAGCTGTCCTTCACGAGGGCAAGGCGGGGAAATTCAGCTTGGGTGACATGCACGCTGTGAGTCCTTTCGTGTGTGACGGTCCGCATTGCCGTCAAAATGGAAAATCTTGCCATCTTCTTCAGAGTAAGACTCCCATTTCAAAGTGTCCTCAGCCAGGCACGCATGATCAAGCATGAAGCGCCATCAGCGAAGCAGGTGAGGTGCCTACCCCTCAGCTGCACTAAGCCCTTTCAGCCCCTGGCAGACAATTCCTTCTCATCATCATCATCGTCATCAAGTAGAGCATGCGTCACATATTCGACTCTGTATTTTATGACCTCAGAGCTCTACCCACTTGAGAACCCAGGGTATACCAAAAAACATCCAAAACCTCCTTCCCTCCGGGCTGAGTCGCCGACCCAGGCATCTGAGTCAGGCCTTCCTTTTGTGGATATGGCCTGAATCTTGCAAGGGGAGGAGAAGCGCCACTGGATCCAGGGGTGCTCATCTTTGTCGTGAGATTCGCCAACCCAGCAGGTATCCTGGCAGTCAAGCCTTGAGCGCCACATCTGCTGGAACCCATGCTCCGCATCGTTCAAGAAGTAGCTCGAAGCAGAGATGCGGCTGTCCGGCACCAGAGGGTGCGACTTGGGCCCTACCAGATCGCTTCCCATTTTCAGAAGGTGTCCGAATTCCAGCAAACAATTCGCTTGGGAGAGGTCCTGGCCGCAAATGCTGCATACACTCAGGACATTGCCTTCCCTTGTCACTCTCTCCCTCTCGCCCTGGCGCCCTTTCAAAACAAATCCGCCGACGCCAGTCGAGCGTGTAGATGGCAGTCCGCAACTTGATCTCTTATCAAAGCCGAAGGCTGTTGGGGCTGCCAATGGTGCGCTGGGTGTCCAAAACCCCGTAATTTTCCGGTGTTTTTGGGGCTTGCCTGCCAAGAACCTTAGGTCCCAAGGGGGGGGGGGGTCCCCTGGACGCGCAGGATCTGCATCCCCAGCATCATCAGGGCTCTTTTTTTGCAGACGCTAAGGGCGTTTTGCTGTTTCAAACAATGTTGGAATCGGCCTGTTAGGGGTCTAGGTGGGGCCAAGTGCAGTGATACATTGAGGAACTGTTTGAATTTGCAAAAATGAGTGTTTTTGCAATTCCCCACCTGTACGGACCAGTTACTGCGAAACACATCCCCTGCATTTTTGTGTTTTTGGAAGTCAATTTTTAGAGTATTTGAAGGGGGTTGCTAGTATCTGCTTTTGATGGTTTTTTGTGGCCAGCCAGCTGCATTCCCACATTCCCGACATCTCTTGCATTTTCTGTGTTATGTCAATTTTGCTTGTCTGAAAGTCTTGAAATGTTGGATGCGAAGATTGGGTCTGTTCCTGTACGTTGTGTCCCTTGCATTCCAGCATTCCCAGCATCTGGGACATGTTTCCTGACTGAAAAATAGGAAAATGCCAAGAAGGCCTTGTTGTGGCACTTTCAGACTTCCACGAAAAAGAAAAGAGGTCTTAAAATTCCTTGCACCCCACTGGCGTCGGCGGATCGCGTAGCGATTTCAATAGTAGCGTCTGTGGCTGCACATAGCCTTGTTGTCATCGACAAACCTTTGTAGGCGATCAGACAGGTCAATCACGCGCATGGCCGTACATAGAAGTTCTCCTTGCGAGGCATGCCAAAAAAGGCGTAACATGCGGACTCCTCCTGCTGATGAAGTTCGCAGCTCAACTCTCAAACCGCGGAAAATCTCCTAAGTTCAGCTTCCCAGATTTATCCTTGTCCATAGAGCTGAACAAGAACTGAATCTCATCCATGCCAAGCCAGTTGACACCACCTTGGCTGTCGCTTCTCCCCAGGCTCATGACATGAAAAATTCGGCATGATGATTTAGCATGTGCTGAGCTACTTAGCAGAATAACCCTCGCAAATTCTTTCTCTGAAAGACGGCCATCCTCTTGTGACACCATGTCCTTGGAATCAGCTGCTGTTCGCGCCATTTGCATGCAGAGCTCGCTGCAACACAGCGGCATCATATGCATCTGCAGATCGCTTCTTGCCACGCCCACGGAGTTGCTCTTTGTACCTTCCAGTCCACGGAGCCACTGACGGCCAGGCACAAGGCAAGACTGTGGCCGCCACGTTGACGCCTTTTCCGCCAAGTGGTTGAATGCTTCCTGCCACGTATGCGAAGTTTCCGGCAAGACCTTCACCCATGTTCACACGCTGCATGTTCGGTACGGACGTTGACAAAATGTTGTCCTTGAGCCGCTTCTTGTCGCTGTCCGGCATCGCATCTCCTACCTTCTCAGTCAATGTCCTGGTCTCAAGAAAATGCAGAACATCCAGGCTCCGAGGACAGACTCAGAATGATAGATCCGCCCAGGTGCTTTTTTGCATCTTGCCAGCCTTAGCGCAGCAGCGTTGGGCAAATGCTAACGCTCAGTGAATGTGCAAAAGTGTCACCAGCTGCAGTTTCATCAATCATGCTGCCCAGCATGCAAGAATGTTGTTGGAAGGCTGACTTTTGGGTTGCAAATTCCTCTTGGCTTTAGGTCAGCGCCATGCTTACAATGAAAAGTCCACTGCGCAAAGCAGTTGTGTCGATCACCGTGTGCTACAGTACTGCTTTGCGCACCCAGAAGGTGTGCGTGGTGCACCGCACAGCTAAGGCGGACGCTGACCACATTCAAAATCATGGATTTCGGCAAGCTCCTGTCGATTGTCAACTACGACTCTCACTTCAACCCTGCCCGCTCCCCCGGTGTCCTGCTTTGCCGTGAGTCAACGGCACAGTCTGTGGTTGACATGTCCGCGGGCAGGGTCTGCTTCATGGTATCCGCTAGGTCCGTGATGTCTTCGAGGAAAGATGGCGGCACCTACCGCGCTAAGTTAGGTTGTTTGGTTTCACACTCAAAGTTCGGACTGTTGCGTTTGCAAATGACATGATGCATAAGCAAACCCGGCTGGCCTGATCGAAAAGATATGCTATCTCCTGCTCGCAAACCTCAATTTCCGACATGCATGGCGGCCTGCCGGGTGCCCACAAACAGCGCCCAACGCCACCAAGTTGCATCCACCTCCATCTTGATTTCAGCAAGTCGACGTTTGAGCAGTGGGCCACTTTCACGTTCGCTCTTCAACTGACAGGAAGTTCGAGGTTCACAGTGCACGTGGAAAAGCCAGCATGATTGATTGATGTGACTACGGGCATGAGGCGGAAGAATTAGACTAATGGCCAACCCGTCTCCAGCGAGGCTGTTTCAAAAGATCAAGTCCTCGCCTTCTTCTCTCGCTCCATCAGGTCGACGCAGCGAATACTTTTGGACAGCATCGTCTCCAAGCGGTATGTCCTCTTGCCTGTGCAGAATAGGCCAGGTCAGCTGGGGCTGTGGGCTGCGCTACGCCCTTCTGAACTTGCGATAAGTGGCGCTCGAAATTTGCGAGCTCTTGGCGCACCGAGCCCAGCAGCCTCCGGAAGACAAACTTTGAATGGCCTCAGTTAGAGTTGCTCGGGCACCGTCTCAAATCAACCTGCAATGCGCGACACTGCGCTGAGAACCGAAACTGGTCTGGCATCCGTTGCATGAATCAACATCCTTGAGAGCATCTTTCGGGCTCAACTGCCCCATTCTCTTGGCATTTGGAATTGAAACCGCGAGAGGCCGAGGTGCTGGGCGACAGGTTCTTGGACGAAAGCCAGGTGTGGAAAAGCTCCAAGTCAACGTCGGGTCCACCAGCAACATCTTTCTCGGTGCAGTGCTTGTGGCCTTACGAACCGGCCGGGGGGGCTACGTTACGAGCATATACGAGCATGTCCGCGCCAAGGACAAGCAACTTCATTGTCAAGAACTGAGGACAAGCTTGCCTCTTAATAGTTACTTAGTTGATAGCACTGAAGGCAACTGGGGCACTCCTTACAAAGGCTTGCCTTCCAGCCCCAAATGCCTCAAACTTAGCTTGGTCATTTCACCACCTTCGTCCTTCCAGGCAGTGCAAACTCATGGCACCATTTCGGGCAGAGGTGAGGCGCGCAGCGATGCAGCGGTGACAACCATGCAGCCGATGATTGTGCATTCTGCTCTGCACGGCAGGCAGTCACAGTGGTCAATCATCGTTTTGTCCACCGATTAGTCCAGCGCTTCTCGCTACCTGTGTTGCCTGATTGCCTTCCTTGCTGGGCTAACCAACTGCTGTCACCTGCGTGCCTTAAGCTGTTGCCCCACATGCAAGCGGTGGGTGTGGAGTCGGCCGCAGAGTTGTTCAAGGTGGCACTTGAATGCAGCAGTGCAACCTGGCGACAAAGCCTGCGGTTGGCGTTTTTCTCTTTCGGACATTGCTGCTTCGGTTGCCTCGTTTTTCTGTACCGGCCTCCAAAACAGAGGTCTTCTGCTCTTTTGTCCTCAATCCGAGCGCAAGCTGGGGACCAGGGGTTGGCAAGACTGCCATACAAAGTGGTTTTGTCTACGGTGTGCTTGAGAATGGTGGACCGAAAGCTGGCACTGCATGGTTGTGCATGTGGCAAACCAATCCGGCCCGCGTAGGACGGGAATCGCGCCCCCTGCCTCGCCCCGAAGATGCACAAAATGGACCTTTGCACCCCTAGCGTACCAGCCCCATTCCCCAATGAAGGGTGATGATGCAAGCTGCATGCCTTCTAAGCATTTTGGTGATACCTCCTGCAGGGGGAAAAAACAAAAAACCCTGCGACGGTTATGTATGAAAACATACAGCTGCGATTGAGAAACCGGTCTAGGCTGTAGTTCTGCTGTTCCGTGGGAGGGCCAAGAGACCTGGAACTGTCACAAAAGCTTGACATCGTTGACACATGCCTGAGTGTGTAAGCTCGAAATATGTGCCCGCAACCCGCCCCGCCCTTGCAAGGAAGTGGCGAACGGCTGCTGCTGATCTGGTAACTCGTTCACGCTGATCTCTCTCGAACCAGAGTTTGCACTGTGCTGTTTTATCACCTGTTGCACGTCTAGAGGTGTGCTTGAATATCTTCTTCAGCACGTCTCCGTCTGTGTCGATGTCCTAACAGAGGCAACCGGGAACACAACAACTTGGCAAATCGTCTTCGCCGCAGCAGGAGAATATGCATGTGCCTTGAAGACCTCTTGCCCGAACGCAATCGAAAACACGGAAACTCCAATCCCATGCTGCTGCGACAAGTCACTGCTGGCAAAATGCTTAATGCAAATATGTACATCTATCTGTATATATATAGATATATACAATTATCATATATACATATATGTGTGATATATGTGTGTGTGTGTGTGCGTTAAGGCTTTGCAGGGCGAGTCTGGCAGTGAGCAGCGGTCCTCCCACTCAGCTTCCTCAGGCGCAGCGGCATCAGCAGCCCTGATGAGACGGGACCCTGGAGCCACCAGGTCGAACTCCAGGCGACATGGGAAGTAGCTCGCAGCCGCTTTGCTTGCGTCTGCCTGAGGCATTGCATCGATTGCACGCCGACCCTACGCCGCTAAGCCGCTAAGCCGCTAAGCCGCGAAGCCGCAAAGCCAAGCTGCTGCTTTGAAACCCCAATCCAGAAAGCACTTGGGGATATTCGAGTCGTCTACCAGATCGATGTACTCCCATCGCGCACAGTCCATTGCATCCAGCTCCCCCTCCCCTTTCCTCAGCACATTGGAACCAACGAAAACTCCCTGGCTCACCCAACCCCTCACTTGAAATGAATGACATATGTGCCGCAATTACAGGGACAAGCATCTGGAGCCTGTGCATCAACTGGGGCTCTACTAGGGCGATGCATATTTTAGTGACGCGCTGTCCCGGTACCATGCCAGCCGTGTCTGCCAGGCCCCCGGATTTCACCTGGCATACCTCAAGCGCAAAAGGGCTGGAATAAAGGGCTGGAATGCCGTGCGCTGAATTGACCAAGCCCACTCCGAGGGCACACGTTGCATGCCTTCATCAAAGCTCCTGCCTCCCAGTAGTCCTGATGTGAGGTCCTCACCCGTGAAATCTGGACATCCTTGAATGCCTGGGCAACCACAAGCCCTGCAAGCCCAACTGCCCTCTTGATTCACAACCTTGACACCAGCGTGCCTGGTCCAGCTGCAAGTACGTGACGTAAGAAGGCTTCACCTGGCGCCCTTCCCAGCGCTCTCGGACTGTGATGTGCTTGTCCCGCTCCACGAGGACACCTGGCGGGGAATGATCCAAGGAATGCTCCCCCGGAGCATGGAACCTTGAAGATTGCGGAGCTCGCTCTCTGTGAAGCCAAGTTTCCTCGGAAACTGAGAAACAACTAAAAGACGTGTCTTGTGCCCTGTGCACTCCCAATTGGTTGGCGAGCATCTGCGTAATCGGGTGCGTATTTCGATTTACCACGTAGGTGTCCCCCTCTCGCCAAACAATGGTCGTATCACTAAACGCTTCCAACGGCAATTCTGCTGGAAGGTCCTCGGCTAGGTCCACATTTCACGAAGCTGACGCTGCGGCAGGTGCGGCCAAGCATCGGGTTCAGCTGGACCTGAGACGTGAAGTATGTCCTGCTTCGGGCCATACGGCAAGACAGGCAGGTCCCAAGAGGCACAGGTCCTTGTCCATGCCGCACATGTCCAAGCTGGTCGCCAATTCCCGCAAATGCCCCATCCTGAACGGATCTCTTGAAAATACAATTCAAGTCAGAGAATGTGCAAAGTTTGCAAAGCCGGTAAGAAATATTCCTGCTGAAGGTCGGTTGGTTGTGCAGTCGGCGCACTTCGGCTTCGTGGGCTATTCGGGGTGCAACCAGGCCACGCCTTGCAGGCCCAGTACCCCAGTACAGCCAGTACACTAAGCTCGGTTGGATGCAAGCGCAAAACGGCACCCCGCGCCGGTGAGGAACATCTCGCACACCACCGATACAAAGACAAGGATAGAAGATGCTGGCACCTTGGATGATTGGCAGCAAGTGCCGGCTCGCACGCTGTGCCACGGTTCAATCATGCACTTCATGCATAACCCCCCCCCCCCCCAACCGCCACCCTGGCAGAACTCCCCCCCCCGAGCCCACACACCCACACACAAAAGACTAGTTCTGCGAGTCAAGATGTCCGGAATAATGAATTAGAATCAGAAGCTTGGGGTCAAGGGCCAGCTTGACTTCACATAGCCGAGCAGCAGAATTTACAGGGCACTGTCACGTTTGACAGTCCACCAGGCATTCGGCTGCCCAGTGCTCGAACAACCTCCTGACAGGGCAGTTTCCTCCTGCGCTGTGCCCCAGCCCATTCGTCCAGTCCTCGCTCCAGCTTTCTGCAGCCACCCTACCTGCACTTGAAGCTTGACTCTGACGGGCTTGAACCCAACTTCCGATTTCGCAAAGGCCTGCCTGTGGCATATATCACTCCTTGCCAGGAATCGCCAAGGCAGATGCAATGCGCATGCAAATTGCCGGCCGAAACACAAGTGCCCGCACCCACAGAGGGCCACAGAGGGCCATTGAGCTAAGCTGCGTTGGTCTTCGGGATTGCTGGCCCTCAGCTCAAAGCCAGGCCCAGCCTCGAGCTGACGACTTCCCGCCTGAGGGCTCTCCTCAATTTCCCCCGTACGCCATGAAGCTTCCGCTCCTCCACCTTCTCCTCATGAGCCTGCATGCCTCAGCGTTCATGCCACATGCCAACAAAGGATACTGGCAAAACTGCAACTGAGTTGCGCTAACAGCCTGTGTGTTGTCAGCTTCTGCGATGTCAGACCCTACCCGGTCAGAAGTCACAGGCAAACCCAGCAACACACAAATGCACACACCTTCGACGTCAACAGGCACGCTCATGCAACAATCCCGTAATATGATAAGTGCAAAAGTGCAAACGTATTCACCAAACAAATGCTGTGGTGCACCTGGATGGCATGACTGAAAGGCATTCTGCTCCACCATGTGAGCTCATGGCGTTCTTGAGTATCTATCTGTTGGTGTGCTTTGCGTGTGTGTGATCGCTGCTCTTTTGCTGACTTCGCCGACTTCGCTCTTTTGCTGGTTTTGAGACCCGTTGATTCCTTTGTCTTGGCAAGGCCCTCACGTCACTGCATTGGGGCGAAGCAAGCGGCAATACAAGCGAATCAAGCAAAACGTGTGCAAGGCATGGACTATGCAATGAGCGTTGCTGCCGTTCAAAAGTATGGTTTGCCCAGTGGGCGCAATGCTTCTGCCTACTTCTGCCCACTTTTAAGTCCCTGCCCCTTCACGGTGCAAGCGCACCGTTTTACTCCTGTGCCTAAAGCCACGTCCCTCACGCGTGAAAATCCTGCAAGCCCTCGGCCAGCGCAGCAATTGTCCACGAAGTCGTTCGAGCGCGCTTGGGCTTTCGCATGCGTTTATCAGGCCCTCAGCTTAAGGGCCCATGAGGGCCTCAGTCTATGTCGCACCCAGACGTTGGCGAAGCTCTGCCAGCTCGGCGAGCGCTCGCTCCAGGGCACGCTCCGTCTCCGCGTGGCTCAAGGCAGATGCATCGCCGCCACCACGCATTGCGCCCAGCACGCGATTGGTGAGCCCTGTGACGCGGCTGGTGAGTCCTGTGCGGCGGAGCAGCTCGCGAATCACACTGGACTTGTCCCACAGGTCCTACCCAAGCAGGCTGGTCACAGCGGGGTAACTTGAATCAAGGTCCAATTTACACTTCGTGCAACAAGCTTGGAAACTTCAAGGCACTCGAGCACTAGCAGGACATGAGCAGCACAAGCACACCAAAAGACAACAACAGTACACGTTTGACTGTCACTTCACAATCAGTGTCCTGTTGCAAGGCCCGCTGGCCCTCCAAAGCTTGATCAAGCTCATCCTGGGCAGCCGCCAGGTCTCCTTCAAGCTCCTGGATTTTGGGGATGTACAGCGCCGCCCCGACTCGGACCTTGTCTTCCAAGCGCGCATTCTCCGCCTCCAACTCTTCGATCTTCTGCATATACAGCATTCCGCCCGCACCATCACTAGTGCTTGACCAGCGGCCATGCGCCGACAAGCCCATGGGATCCTCAAGCCTGGCTTTCTCCCGCAGGCGCCTCTGCAAGGCAGCACGCTGACCATTCAGCTTTTCAAGCTCATTCTGAGCTTCATCCAGTTCCTTGCGCAACTTCTCATTCTCGTCATGCTCGTTCTGAAAATCCTCAGCCGCCTTCCGAAGCCGCGTTTCTGTTTCAGAGCTTGCTGCTTGTGCCTGACCGCTCTCAACACGTTGCAACTCTTCACGAACATATGCCAGGTGCTCTTCCGTGATCAGTGCTGCCTGCTGCGACTTGCCAAGCTGACCAAATAGCTCTTGAATACGTTGCTCCATGGACTGCACCTTGGCACTCTGCACCTCAGCACGGGTCTGAGCCTCGCGAGCCTCAGAATGTGCTTCTTCAACCATCATGCTTTCCTCAGTAGTCATTCGATCCAACCTGTCTTGCAAAGATGTCATCTTGCTGCTGGCAGCGCTTGCTGCTTCCGCCGCACCTTCTTGCAGTGATGCGGTCTGATCCTTCAGTTCTGAAACTGTTGCCTGCAGGCTGGCCCGAGCCTCCTGCAAGTCTGCTTCCTCCTGCTCTGTCCTCTGCAGAGCCGACCTCACATAATGCAAATCTGCCTGCCAACGCTGGGCGTCCACGACAGCTTCTGCTTTGGCTGCTTCGCTTTCGCCGAGCTTGCTGCGAGCATCTTGGAGCATGCTCTCCAGCTCGCTTAGTCTTGCATCGCCGTCCTGGCACTGGCTGCTGGCTCTCTCCTGCTCCTGCTCCATGAGGTGAATCTTCTCCTCCAATCCGCTCAGTTTGCTGCTGGCAGCGCTTGCTTCTTCTGCCGCACCTTCTTGCAGTGATGCGGTCTGATCCTTCAGTTCTGAAACTGTTGCCTGCAGGCTGTCCCGAGCCTCCTGCAAGTCTGCTTCCTCCTGCTCTGCCCTCTGCAGAGCCGACCTCACATCCTGCAAATCTGCCTGCCAACGCTGGGCGTCCACGACAGCTTCTGCTTTGGCTGCTTCGCTTTCGCCGAGCTTGCTGCGAGCATCTTGGAGCATGCTCTCCAGCTCGCTTAGTCTTGCATCGCCGTCCTGGCACTGGCTGCTGGCTCTCTCCTGCTCCTGCTCCATGAGGTGAATCTTCTCCTCCAATCCGCTCAGTTTGCTGCTGGCAGCGCTTGCTTCTTCTGCCGCACGTTCTTGCAGTGATGCGGTCTGATCCTTCAGTTCTGAAACTGTTGCCTGCAGGCTGGCCCGAGCCTCCTGCAAGTCTGCTTCCTCCTGCTCTGCCCTCTGCAGAGCGGACCTCACATCCTGCAAATCTGCTTGCAAACGCTGGGCGTCCACGACAGCTTCTGCTTTGGCTGCTTCGCTTTCGCCGAGCTTGCTGCGAGCATCTTGGAGCATGCTCTCCAGCTCGCTTAGTCTTGCATCGCCGTCCTGGCACTGGCTGCTGGCTCTCTCTTGTTCCTGCTCCATGAGGTGAATCTTCTCCTCCAATCCGCTTAGTTTGCTGCTGGCAGCGCTTGCTGCTTCTCCCGCACCTTCTTGCAGTGATGCGGTATGATCCTTCAGTTCTGAAACTGTTGCCTGCAGGCTGGCCCGAGCCTCCTGCAAGTCTGCTTCTTCCTGCTCTGCCCTCTGCAGAGCGGACCTCACATCCTGCAAATCTGCTTGCAAACGCTGGGCGTCCACGACAGCTTCTGCTTTGGCTGCTTCGCTTTCGCCGAGCTTGCTGCGAGCATCTTGAAGCATGCTCTCCAGCTCGCTTAGTCTTGCATCGCCGTCCTGGCACTGGCTGCCGGCTCTCTCCTGCTCCTGCTCCATGAGGTGAATCTTCTCCTCCAATCCGCTCAGTTTGCTGCTGGCAGCGCTTGCTTCTTCTGCCGCACCTTCTTGCAGTGATGCAGTCTGATCCTTCAGTTCTGAAACTGTTGCCTGCAGGCTGGCCCGAGCCTCCTGCAAGTCTGCTTCCTCCTGCTCTGCCCTCTGCAGAGCGGACCTCACATCCTGAAAATCTGCTTGCAAACGCTGGGCGTCCACGACAGCTTCTGCTTTGGCTGCTTCGCTTTCGCCGAGCTTGCTGCGAGCATCTTGGAGCATGCTCTCCAGCTCGCTTAGTCTTGCATCGCCGTCCTGGCACTGGCTGCCGGCTCTCTCCTGCTCCTGCTCCATGAAGTGAATCTTCTCCTCCAATCCGCTTAGTTTGCTGCTGGCAGCGCTTGCTTCTTCTGCCGCACCTTCTTGCAGTGATGCAGTCTGATCCTTCAGTTCTGAAACTGTTGCCTGCAGGCTGGCCCGAGCCTCCTGCAAGTCTGCTTCCTCCTGCTCTGCCCTCTGCAGAGCGGACCTCACAGCCTGCAAATCTGCCTGCCAACGCTGGGCGTCCACGACAGCTTCTGCTTTGGCTGCTTCGCTTTTGCCGAGCTTGCTGCGAGCATCTTGGAGCATGCTCTCCAGCTCGCTTGATCTTGCATCGCCGTCCTGGCACTGGCTGCCGGCTCTCTCCTGCTCCTGCTCCATGAAGTGAATCTTCTCCTCCAATCCGCTTAGTTTGCTGCTGGCAGCGCTTGCTGCTTCTGCCGCACCTTCTTGCAGTGATGCAGTCTGATCCTTCAGTTCTGAAACTGTTGCCTGCAGGCTGGCCCGAGCCTCCTGCAAGTCTGCTTCCTCCTGCTCTGCCCTCTGCAGAGCGGACCTCACATCCTGCAAATCTGCTTGCAAACGCTGGGCGTCCACGACAGCTTCTGCTTTGGCTGCTTCGCTTTCGCCGAGCTTGCTGCGAGCATCTTGGAGCATGCTCTCCAGCTCGCTTAGTCTTGCATCGCCGTCCTGGCACTGGCTGCCGGCTCTCTCCTGCTCCTGCTCCATGAAGTGAATCTTCTCCTCCAATCCGCTTAGTTTGCTGCTGGCAGCGCTTGCTTCTTCTGCCGCACCTTCTTGCAGTGATGCGGTCTGATCCTTCAGTTCTGAAACTGTTGCCTGCAGGCTGGCCCGAGCCTCCTGCAAGTCTGCTTCCTCCTGCTCTGCCCTCTGCAGAGCGGACCTCACATCCTGCAAATCTGCTTGCAAACGCTGGGCGTCCACGACAGCTTCTGCTTTGGCTGCTTCGCTTTCGCCGAGCTTGCTGTGAGCATCTTGGAGCATGCTCTCCAGCTCGCTTAGTCTCGCATCGCCTTCTTGACCAACTTGATGTTTGTTCTCCGCTCGTTCTTTTTGAAGGTCGGTGTAGGCCTGCAAATGGCTTGCAAGACAAACAAAATGATTGCTGCCATGTGTTTATTTTGTACCACCATGCTGCTAGCCTGGCGCAAGCTCTCCAGTTGCGTGCGCATCATATCAGCCTCAGTTTTTGACAAGCAAAGTTGACATGCGAAGCAAGCGTTGCGACCGTGGCTGCCTCCATCGCGTCTTCCTGACCAAGCCGGCCATCGTTCCAACATCTCTGTCAAGAGGCTTGCAAAAGTGCTACCTGTGGAGCTATGTCTTTGGCCAGCCTGGCTTGGCTTCCCAAAGGAATCACGCTCACGGCAAAGCTCCTTCAAACACTTGCGGCCCAAAACAAGATTGAGGATGCTCCATTGCGTCCTCATAGGCCTGGCGAAGCGATGCAAGCTGGGTCCGCAGCATCTCATTCTCCAGCGCTGCCTCACAGCAAATCCGATTGCTGCTCTTGGGGCCAAGTTGGAGGATGCTAGCAACTCCAGGAAGGGTTGAGTTGTTCGAATCCCAGGCGCCTCCGTGGCTGGTGCTGAACTTCCTACAAGGCAAGCTGCCCCATGGCACCTCTGCAATTCACCTCCCGCCTCCACGCTTGAAGACATTCGCCAATGCTCCTGGACCTTTGGCCTCCCTGGCTGCAACCACCTAAGAGCAGGCATGCATCCGCAATGACATGCGTCTCGAAATTGTTGCAAGGCTGAGTCAAAGTGCTCGTCAAATGGAACAATTTGTGTGAGCTGTGGGCAGGATGTCCACCTAACGACCCGAGAAACCGCCTTGTCAATAAGCTTCTCGTTCTCTAGCTCTAACTCCTGGATGCGCCGCCGCATGCGGACCACGTCGTCATTTGCCCCTTGGCCCTGCATGCTGTTGGAGCTGTCGGCCACGCGTCCCGCACCGCAACATTCATTCAGCTGCGGCTTTGTGGGCCTGAGAACCCGCCAAGGAGATGCTCCGCTTGCCAAATTCGTGTGTCCTTTGCATAATTGCATCATTGAATCCAAATCAATGTCAAGAACGACTTGTCAACCAAAGATTCTTCATTTTGGTATGGCTGCCATCTTGAATCAAGCTTGGTCTGGCTGGCACAGGTAAGCAGCTCTGAACCAGCCAGCTGAGCGTGACTTGGGACGCAATATCCTTCCTGGCTGCCCAAACCAAACCGCAATTCGAGACATTTCATCCCTGCCCTGCAAGTAGAGATGCATCGCTTTATCATCAAGCATCAGGCATTGCTCATGGAGATATTCCTAGTCCTAGCTTCGCTGGTGCCCTTGCTTCGAGGGACTTCTGGGAAGATGGAAACGAACGGCTTTGCTCTGAGCGCTCCATCTGTGAAATAGTATAGACATTTACAAGCCGGCGCGGTGTCAAGCCGCTGGATGCAACTTCATGGAAGCTCCCTGAAAGATTTCAGCCAGGGGCTACCCAGAATCAACCAGCAAGGCTTCTCTTTCACCGAGTTGCAGCGTGCACAGCACGGTGAGGCATTCACTTCGCTCCTCTTCCTGCTCTTGAAAGGGTCTCTCCGTTCTTATTGTCACATGAATTGGTCCGCTGCAAGAGGCTTTGGGCAATCAAGCCGTCTCAAACTCTGCTTGTTGTTCGGCTTGCTTGGAATCATGTTTTTCTCCTTTGGCTTCGTATCTCCGAGCGGGTCTTTCCATCGATCTGGGCTCTGAGCAGATCTCGTCAGTTCTTGTCAGCACTCCTTCGCTCTCCAGCGCTAAGATTGGCCCTTGTTGATCTCAGTGTCGCACATCGCAGCTCTCGCCGGATGGCTTCAGTTCTGTTCAACTCTTTTGGAAGGTCATAATCTTGGTCTGGCGATCCTGGACCCCCCTCAACTCTTGCCAGCTACATTTGGTGACTTGCTCTACATGGTCCATGGGAATGAGTCAACCTTGCTGGTGTTGTTTGCTTTGCTGCGTCTTTCTTTGTCGATAGGTTCACAGGTTGGCTTCGTCTCGTCCACAGGTCCGCTCGTCGCTGTTGGTGCCTCGCTTGCCTTCGCTCATATGGACTGTCTTCAACCCATCCTTTGGGCAATCTGGTTGTCTCAAGACACGTCTGTCTTGTCGACCGGGCCGCTTGGCTTGTGCCAATTTGTTGATGCACTTTTGAAGACTTGCCATTTTTTTGGACTTTCTTCTAGCGCTGCACGTTTGCTTCATAATTTAACGTTATTGTGCTTCTTCAAACTCTATTCTGTGTCTGTGCGTCCCTTTGGCTACCTGGCGCTGTTCCACTGAGGCTATGACTGAGCTGTCGCTGCAGCCATTTGCTCGAGACCTCGCAGCTACGAGCCACAAAATGTCTGCACATCACAGCTCAAAAACATCACAGCTCGGAAGGGAAGGTAAAAGCAAAGCCCTCAACTACACATGCACCACCTCATTGCCGGCTTCTGGGATCCCCCACAGCGAATCTTCGGCTCTTCACACTCCTCATACTCTTCACGGTGCTGCCAACCTGTTCTCTTTTGTGGCAGCGGCGCAAACTCTTGTAACTAGGCTCGCTATGACACCCCCACCAAACCTGACTGGTTGTTCTGACGGCCCACTACAATCGATGTCATGCTCTATGACACAAGTGTGTAACTGGGGCGCCGGCACTGTCGGTAGACCATTGCTTTCTACTAGAAGCCAGCTGCATCGCTGGCCTGATGCAAAATGGCGCCAAAGTGCATACGCAAGTAGGCTGTGGATGACAACCAGCGGGAGGCACGCAGGGTCTGGCAACTCTTCCATGACGACAGCCCGGACATCCTGCAGGCCAGTGCCCTAGAAAGAGAATAGCAACGGAGCACATTGCAAATGCATCAAATGAAATCAGAACAGGGGATATGTAGTGCAAGCAAATCGCCTCCTCGCGTCTCGAGGCTGGCACACACATCCAAAGATATCTGTTTTCAGTGCCTCCGGTCCGAACTTTGCACTCTCCGTGCTTCCTGTGGCATTTCTAGCTGCAATGCTAAGTCTCCTAAGTGCCTCGCCACGAGCGCCGCCCCAAACTTCATCGGGACACCTTAGCAAAGCCGGGCTGACAACCAGAGCCTAGGAACCCAAAGGGGAGCTGTTGCTTTCGAAACACTGGGTTTCTACCTGGACCTCTAAAAAGGGAGACCTCGCTCTTCTACGGCGCCGTTCTAGCACAGTCCGACCTTTACAAGCAAGGTCCAGCACCAGCTCAAACCTCACACAGGTCCTTCTCCACCGCTGGTCACAACTCGCACTCAAGTGTCCCTCCGCACCATCGTTTTGCACCCCCCAGGCCCGTTACAGGTCGAGTCCCACTACTCGCATGTGCCTCCCAGTCTCCGACCTCCATCTCCCCCACCATCCTGGACCGTCTCCCCCCTCAAAATTTGGAGCAGACGTCCAGAAATGCAGATGTTGTTCAAACCAAACTGAGAGCTGTTAATTGAAACTAGGCCATCCCTATGAGGAATTCATTGCAGCTCAGCTGCTGAAAAACACAGGCCACCATCACGGTCTGCAAGAAGGTATAGATCCTTGCGCAAGCTTCTGCGGCTGGGGTGGCTGTAGTCGACAAGGTTGCTCACTCAAAAGGGATCATTCATATCATTCACAAGAGTGGCTGCATATCATATTATTTGAACCAAGCTGCACTGATAAGAAAGGAATTCGGGTGCGAGTGAAGATGATGCACCTGGGCGAGCCATATGACTGGCATAAGCTTCAACCTTCAACATTTGGCGACGTGCTTCGCCATTCTGCTTTGATCTGCTTGCTCACGTGCCAGTTGTTTGACACAGGCATCCTCTTGGCTCAGCTCATACATCCACACCAGCTCCGAGCTGGCATGCTTGAAGTATGCAATCCAAGCAACAATTGTGTGCCGGCAATGATGCAAAGAGTGACCACTGTGATCGCCTGAGCAAAGCTGCGGGGCATCAGCACCAACTTGGATGGAACCGGCACCGTTGGCAAACTGCTGTCACAAGCCCCGTGTGACATCATTACGCGCGCAAATCTTAAGCTGCCGGCCTGCGCAAGACTTGCATTGCAAACAGCCTTAGGTGCAATCCGCGAGAACCCGGAATTGCAAGCCTACCGCCTGACAAAACTCAAAGGCGAGCAAATACTTGGTAAGTGACGCCAGGCATTATCAAAGCCCGCAAGTTGAAGGTCAGGACTGACCTCAACTGCCCGGGTGGTTCAATTGGCAGGGCTGGGGGGTGAAACCCTCCCACTCTCCAAGGCCGCTGCTGTGCCCGAAGCTCTTGAAAGGTCAGCTCCTCAAGCTTGTGACACTGCGACTCGCTTGTCACAAGGACCCTGGCTGCCACGACGGACAAATATGGGCCCGAGGCAAATCGGAAGCATGCTACAAATAGATACTATCATTTGTAAAAAGAACGCAAAGAGTATTCACTCCAAGCCCGGATTACACACATCCCTGACTCTGAGATGGACTACGTGCCAACACCACCCCGCGCGGAACTTCCGGAGAGCTTCCGTACCACACAAAGCGATACTCTAGCTTTAGTGTGAGCCTTGTGCCAATGCAGCCGGTAGCCCTGCCTTTTTCCTACGCGTCCGATACTGCCAGCGCATCAACACATACCAATGTAAACATCCTGAGTTCCTGGCACTTCGCTCTTTTTCGATCTGGTAGAGCTCACCGATCACGCCAATAAAAATGTTCAAGAAGAAAATCCTGGGCAACGGGGCAGCATCTTGTTGCAAAGACTGTGTCAAGCCGTTGCGTTGCTGCCACTGCCCTCAAGATGGCCCACTTCCAGAGACTGAGCGTCGAGAACATGAGGACGGCCAAGTATTCCAACGACATTTCGACGAACGGTGCCTTGTTCCTGAGGTAGCTGTGCCATTCGTGCAAACAACATCACATGAGACAAGACTGCTCAGGCCAGCCAGGTCACACGTCCGCAGGAATTTCTGCCGTGATAAGCGAGCTAAAGCCTGGGCAGTGCAGTAAAGAAAGCATACAGACTTGCAGCACGTCCCCTCATGTCAGCTGTTGCCGCCGAAGAGCTGCTGTGAAACACCTTGCAACACTGCTGTCTGACTGCTGGCGCGAAACAACAGTCCTTCCACTCCAAGTATGCAAACACGAACGCTCAGAGCGCGCAAACAAAGAAACACTTGAAACAGACCTCACAAGCTTCGTTCTTGCCAATATTCCCTCTCTTCCCTTTGGGTCGTGTTGCTCTGGTTATGCATCATTGAAAGCATTATTTCGGAAATTGCCGTGCCACTTCCAAAGATTGATTCCAAGTGGGAAGACGTAGAAGTGGAAGTAAAAACGCATGGAAAGTTCACTTAGGTTCAGGGCAATTCGACCACAGCTGGCACACATGGCCCTGCAAAGGCCGACAATGGCAGTAGCAAACTTGCAATATCCAGGGGAAGCGCACCGCATGTTCGTTCTTCGCACACTTGCCCCTGCTTGAATTCGCACGATGCCTTGCATCCGGCTGGCGTTTAAGATAGGGCTGACAATGAAGAAGCAATCAAGCACAAAAAAATACACCCTAAACCCTAAAATACTGAAAGACTACAGCCTACATGACTTAAACCCAAAAAGGAAAACTAACTATATATATAAATGTTAGTTTTCGTCTTCGCCTGCTTTCTTGTTTTCACCAATTTCCCGCTAGCGCTTAACATTGCCTCACACAGCGTTGCAAGCATGGACGACTGCCACCAAAACGTGCACATGGCTGTCCAACGCCTGTGTCCACACTGGCTGCGTAGTATCTTTGACTGCCTGGGCTGCGAACTTTCAAACAAAGGCTGCTCACACTCCATTCGTGAAATCAGCAACATGCAGCTGAGATTCAAAGAACGCGTGCACAAAGGCACAGTAGCCTGAAGAAGGCAGCTCTTGCTTGCCAGCGGCTTCGCATGGCAATTCACACAATAACAAAGTAAGGCAGGAGCCAACACCAAAGACAACAAGAGCAGGGACCAATCCTGACAAGCTTGAGGGAGTGCATGACTTCAAACGCACAACAGGCAACTCAAGTAGGCTCAGTGCCCTTGGCAAGGTCCCTGACGGGCAATACTGCCCGAGCCACCCTCGGCGTTGAACATTCAATTCACGATTTAGACTCATACGTTTGCCCGTTGTCGATCGACCGTCAAGGTCCACTCAAGTGGTGAAACTGCGGCCAGGCAACTTTTCCGCAGATGTGAAGATTTCGAGGAGCCGGAGCCACAGACAGAAAATGACAACCTGGGAAGCTACACTGGTGCATTTAAAATGTGGCAAACACTGCGCCAAGTTACGACATGAACCAACTTGCTCCTTAGTTTCTGTTCTGATGTTGGTGAGTGAAATGATTCAGCTGGCGCAACCACTGCCGGCGTTCAGAGATGTGGGGCAAATAGAATGGTGCTATCATCCTGAAGAACTCGGGCAGCCAGAGCGCCAAGACTGATTCATTGGTTTGATTGCTGCAAGGTGGCACTTCTAGATTCCAGCAACGCTCTACACCCACAAAAAAAAGTTGCCTTGGTCCATGACATGTCTCACCTGAATTTCCTATCACGCGAGTTTGCCCATCGCATGCGGGGGAGGCCCCTCCTAGCAATGCAAACTCCACAGCAAACGATTCGCGAATTTGCGCACGGGCGAGACTGTTAGTTCGCACACGCAGGCGTGCAACGGCATACTCATGCCAGCGCGTTGGCACTGCACAAGGAGAGAATGGGATGACGCTAAGAGACAGCAAAGGGCGATTGAGAGCAAGGACAAAAAGAAGTGCCTTCAACAGCATCCGTGGTAAATTCTGACATTGCCTTTGGACCCTGATGCGGATGACTCAGTGGATGACTTATGACTCATGACTTTTCAAATCTGCCAAGGATCTCGGGATGCCAAAAAAGCATCTGAGCGGCCACCGCGCGCGCGATGTCGAAGGCATTCCTGAGTAAGCAACCAAAGAATACAGCATGGGGGCTTGTCACAGAGATGAAGGCGCCAGTTGCGAACAGGGCAAGGCAACATGCTGTTACAGCAAGAGCAGGCCGTGCCGCACATGTCAGTCAAGCCTCCCGAAGGTGAGATAACTCCCTGGCTGGCCAATGGTGCAGCAGCCCAGGAACTGGATCACCTGCGCAGTCCGGGTGGATTCTTCACCGCCTAGTCCGAGGCCTGCCTCCATGGAGAGATCCACGAGCCCTTTGGCCGCGATCCAGCTGGTGGCCACGTGCCTCGATCCGAGCAAATCCGATGCACGCTCAGGCCTTGTCTGGTCGATTCGTCGAACATCTTGCTTTGCATCCGGGGCGCAAGTTGCACAGCAAGCACCCGTCGTCGCTCGAGGGCACTTCCGCCTTGCATCACTTTCCAGGCGTTCGTAAACTTGACTTACCAGCATGTCAGCCGCTACAAGTGGTGCAGCATGGATTCCCCTCAACACGGTGGTAGAACTAACGTCACAAAAATGCAAGCGGTCCTTTGCCAAAAATAAGTCTGGCCGCATACGGAATCGAAAACATGAGCGTCAGTCATGGCCGAGCCGCCACCAAGTTACCTCCATGACCTTTACTTCGCAGCATCCTGCCATGTCATTGCCATGGAAGTGGGACACTTTGCGAGTGCTACGGGCCTTGCATCCTCCTGTGAAACACCTCCTTCAAGCTGTAAATACTCAAGCTGCAACCTCGCAGGCTGAGAGCACGCCAAGCCCCCCAGCCAGCCAGCAAAGCACATCTGAAGCTGGAATTCCCGAGCTCTCTGAAGCGTGGGCATGCCGGTCTCAAAGACAAGGATGAGCACCGCCCAGAAGCTCATGGCCACCTTCACAGCCGAATGCACGTGCAACTTGTGCATCATAGATAACGGCCTGTAGAACATCATAGATAACGGCGCCATGCCAGAACGCGTAGTGGATGGTGGCACGCACAACTTCGTTCTCAAAACGTGTGAAGGCAGGATCAGTGTCGCTTGCATCCACCAAGGCCTCAAACACTCAAACATGCTGCCACGTCAATATCAGCTTGGGACCGCGAGCAACATTGGTGCAACCGACCTGGAAGTATTCGGCGGTCAGCAAGTTTGGCACCTGACGCTGCTGAATCACACCTGGCTATGTCAGTGCAAGGGGCTGAGGTGGGCGCATGACAGATTTTGATCTCAGCATCCTTCCTTGTCATTCTCCTCCTTCTTTTCTCCCATCTTCGCCTGTCTCTGAGTCGATCCTCGTGATCCCTTGGATTCGATGCGGGCAAGGCTCAAGCAGCACCAGCCGACTCACCCTCCCCAACAGCAATGACCAAGTTGCTCAGTGATTTGCTTTTGCCACGGAGGCATTTCAAAAGTTGTGTCGTTGTAGTCCCATACCTGTCCACACTTAAAGGCAGCCATTGAGTTTGCACAGCCATTGTGAGCATTCAGCAAGCCTGATCCGGCTTGTAGAACACCTCACGCCAGTTCACGAAGCGCAAGATGTGAGCCAACAGCCATGCGCAGATTCAGAACTGTGCCAGAGGAACTGTCACGTTGGGGAACATCCATCAAATAATTTGCAACGACTGCATGAAGTCCGCAAAGGCTTGGAAGTTTTCTAGTGTCGATGTCACCCCATCCGATGGTCAAGACGGTCAAGCCATTAGACAAAGCAAGCTGCCATCAGCTCATTCTGCATGTTCAGGGATTGCTGCAAGCTCTGAGTCCATGTGCGTGGAGCAAAGCTGACCTTGAAAGAAAGACTTTCAAGGACATGCGCCATGCGGTTGGCATCAGTGATCTCATGTGATCACTAAAAGCGCCCATGCAAACCAGCCGCGCGCGTAGGCAATGGGTTGTGCCCGCTCCTGAGCCATTTGAGCATTTGATTGGTAGCAACTTCGTCCAAAGGAAGTAGGCTCAAGGATGTCCAATGCCAGTCAGGTAGCGTCACTTCTGGACGCAATGAGCAATAGTCCAGCAAGGCGCAAGCCGCATCTGGGCATTCCCGCATCAAGCTTGCAATGTCCTTGGTTGGCTAGGTGCCTCAATGGCTAGGCAAGGCCTTCCTATGGCTGTGGCTGAAAACTAGGATACCCTCAACCCCCTTGCACAGAAAAAACAAGGCGATTCATTGCTCCTGAGCCACCTCTCCACGCAGACTAAGCATTGTATGATTGAGACAAACGTCAAAAAGGGGTTACAGAGCTGAAGGGGATGCATGCTGAATGGGTCCAGAACAGAAGTAGTCAGAACTCACACTTTTGTGCATCTTGTCAACCTTCGGCCCTGTCCAACCCGGGAAGCTTCTGACCATCGCTCTGGGGGAACACCGATTGCAATCGAGGGGCTTCAGTCTCGATTAACTGAGCGATGGACTTTGGATCCATCCCGGACTCTGCCATATCCTCCTCATTCTGCAACGACCGAAGCAAGAAGTTGGGAATGCAGTGCCTGGGCAACGCATTCAACCAGCACGACATACCAGCATGCGGCCATGGTGGTTCAACCAAGAGTCGGCAAGTGGTCTATGAAGATTTGCAGGGATCGAGCTGTCAAGCGTGCAGATTCAGACAACTCATCTTCTGACATCCTGGGCGCTTTCTTCACAACTCGAAACAGCTGCTGGCAACCGACTACCCTTGCATTCGAATCCCACCATGCCCTGTGATACTTTAGAACCCGACAATGAAATGCGACAATACATATGCGTAAGGGTCAAGGTCTGTCCGTGAAATTGTGCGAAAGATTCAACAAGGCTAACCCTTTTGTTTGCGCAAGGGCAGATTTTGAGTACTAAACCCGCAGAAGATAAACAAGAATCCTCTTGCCCATGCAAACCACTGCCTTGCTCACCTCCCAGCTCCAGTATGGCTAGCTGTTGCCGTTGCCAAACTTGCAGCCGTGGCACTTGTCAAAATGGATGCCGATTTCCTGTCGGCTGCTTTGTGCAGGTCTTGTGTTTGGGAAGGCCTTGCTCGCAGCCAAGGTTCTAAAGGCAAAGGGTGGCCACCTTCCACGATCGCATCCTGCGAAATGACAAGCCGGCGACGGTCTCAGAGTAGGCTTGAATCAGCGCCGTCCTCAAAAGTGCCCCAGTCGTCAATGGCTTCATGCAGCCTGTGTATCAGTGGGACATTGCCCGTCTGATAGGCCAAGTGAAGTGCAGTCCGTCCATCCCTGGGTTGCGACAGGCAAGCCGTGACGCTGGCCCGTGCCGCTGGCTGTAGAGGTGTTTTTTGTTTTACTAGGTGCGGTTATTTAGTAGGTCCGGTTTTCCGCAAAGCTGCCAACATCCCCGGCATCACCAACATCACTTGGACTTGGGGCTATTGGCTCTGATTGGGTGGCAGTTGGGAGTTGCTGGGGGTTGGTTTAAGTTAGGGGGGTTTTGGCTGGCTTAGATCTTCATGAGGGTGGGTCTTGGGGTGGTTTGGGGTTGATTTAGGCGAAGCGAAGGGCTGACATCCAGGCTGCTGTTGGGCGGGTTTAGGGTTGACTTTGAGTGGGGTTGGGGTGGCTTGGAGCTGATTTGTGTTAGGTGTGCTGCTGGTTTAGCAGCGGCTTGCGGGTTTAGGGTTGACTTTGAGTGGGTTTGGGGTGGCTTGGAGCTGATTTGTGTTAGGTGTGCTGCTGGTTTAGCAGCGGCTTTAGAGTTGCTTTAGGGTGTGGTTAAGAGAGTTTTGGTCGAGTTTTGGTGGTTTGGGGCAACGAACCCTAAACTCGACCAAAACTCTCTTAACCACACCCTAAAGCAACTCTACCAACAGCAGCCTGGATGTCAGTCCTTCGCTTCGCCTATTTAGGCCCAAACCACCCCAAGACCCACCCTCATGAAGATCTAAGCCAGCCAAACCCCCCCTAACTTAAACCAACCCCCAGCAACTCCCAACTGCCACCAACCAACCAACCAGCCAGCCAGCCAGCCAGCCCAACCCAACCCAACCCAACCCAACCCAACCCAACCCAACCCAACCCAACCCAACCCAACCCAACCCAACCCAACCCAACCCAACCCAACCCAACCCAACCCAACCCAACCCAACCCAACCCAACCCAACCCAACCCAACCCAACCCAACCCAACCCAACCCAACCCAACCCAACCCAACCCAACCCAACCCAACCCAACCCAACCCAACCCAAACCCAACCCAACCCAACCCAACCCAACCCAACCCACCCACCCAACCCACCCACCCAACCCACCCACCCCCACCCACACCAACCAACCCCAACCAACCAACCAACCAACCAACCAACCAACCAACCAACCAACCAACCAACCAACCAACCAACCAAACCAACCAACCAACCAACCAACCAACCAACCAACCAACCAACCAACCAACCAACCAACCAACCAACCAACCAACCAACCAACCAACCAACCAACCAACCAACCAACCAACCAACCAACCAACAACCAACCAACCAACCAACCAACCAACCAACCAACCAACCAACCAACCAACCAACCAACCAACCAACCAACCAACCAACCAACCAACCAACCCATCACCAGACCTAATATAAAAAAACCAGACCAGTAAAATAAAAAACACTAAGCAGGCTTGTCAAAAAAAGGTCCCTAGCCAGGAGTGAGAACACGCATGGCCCCTGCTTCACGCCACGGATCTGATTTGGCAGGTTCGGATTTGCCTTCACGTGTAAGAGGTAGCCAACCTCAGAACAGCTGCATGAAACATGACAAAGCACACAACAAATGCAACCAATGCCCAACTGGGGTGAAAACCATAGCTGTAGAGCCTCCCTTGCCCTCGGCGTACACCGCAGCATGAAGAACATCATAATGGGGCGTATTGCCCCGAGTCACCTAGAAATGATGGAGTTTCGCTATGCCACGGCTTGCAAGTCATCATTGATCATGCATCCACACCTTGTCTTCAACTCGAGCACCCAAGCTCACCAGAAGCCGAACAACCTGCGCTTTTTCTGGGAATGTTCGTTCCGGAAAAGCACGGAGAGTACAAGCACCAATAATTACCCCAATACAGTTCTGCCTCCTCATGCCCACGCGAGGCCGCCAAGTGAATCGCTTCTCCGCTGCCTTCCTGCACGTTGCCCTCTGGGCTTCCTGAGCTTTGGATTGGCAGCTCAAGGAACTGGGAGAGACCCGACGTCAGATCTGGGAGCGGTGCTGGTCTGGTAGGTGAAACGGGTGTTCAAAAGCTCCGGGTGCTCCTGCGCGCCAGATTGCGCCAGTGTGCCCCTGAAGCAAAGGTAGTCTAACATGAGTACACAAATCATGCACACGTCTCCTCGTGGAGCTGGTTTACTCGCTCATGGTCGCCATGAAGGGCTGCTTCATGAATCGGGAACCCTGAGCAATCCTGAGTTCAAAAGTGCGACCTTTGGACACCAACTCAAAGCCATGCCAAGAACAGCAATGCAGTCAAATGTCGCGTCCGTTCCAACGGAAGGCCACCCTTGCACAGCTTGTCACGCTCTTGGCATCCACCTTGGTCGGCACGAGTTGCCACATACAAATATCAGTGCTGCGGGCAAGCAGTCAGCTGCCCACTCGCTTGTGAAGTGATGTCGCGCTACTCTGGACTTCACCTCCGCCCTCACGGGCGACGATCCTTGGCAAATGATGCAACCAAGCAACAGCAGGCCCAATCAACGATTATCCTGCCAAGGATCCGCGCATATCCTTGATTCATCGTTCGCGCCGGCCATGGCCTATCTGCAAGACCTTTTCTTTGGCAGCCCTCCAAGCCAAAACGCGGGAAGGCGCACACATGCCTGAGCGCACCATCTTGTCGGCACCATGAAATTTGAAATCTCGGGGTGAGGCCGAGAATCGTGACGAAAGTCTTCTGGCAACGGCTGAAGGATATTAAGGCCGAAGGGGGGGGGGACCAAGGATAGAAGACAGCATGCCCGACCAGTTTTTCGCAACGTTTGCCGCCCTTGTGGGGGCATAATATTTGAATAACATCGAGACATGAAGTTTGGATGCCTTGACCTCAACAGCTTTGTCGCCACTGAAACGCCAACTGCGAAGACACGCAACAGTCTTTTTGGAAGCGGCGAGCAGCAAACACTATGTCATATTTTGGGATGGGAAGCCAAGCCAATTCCACAAGCTTACGCGGCAAGCTTACGCGGCAAGTTTACGCGGCAAGCTTACGCGGCAAGCTTAATTACGCGGCATAGGTGTTTGTTTCCGTGCTTGTGTTTTGCTCAGCGGCTTCTGGACATGCCAAAAGTGGCAGCTATTGTTTAAAGAAAATCAAGTGAAATGCTGCCTGCTGTTGCTGCCTGCTACTACCTCCTTGCTTCCCATGCGCAACACAAGCCGCAAAGATCAGGGCCGTCCGCGAAAACCAACTTTGCCTCCTTGGACGGTGGCCCAACTCAACTGCACGCTGCAGTCCGCGACACGCACTTGCAGGCACTGCGACTGTCGAGCGACAACAACCCGCAGTATGGATGCAAGGCAGTCTGTGCCAGCGCGCCTTTGCAGAGGAAACTGGAAAGGGCGCATGGCCTCGTCGAAGCGCTGTGCGTACCTCCGGGCGCCGAAACGTGTCGCCGGTAGCAATGCCCTTTGTGCCTCCGCCAGGCTTGTGAAGCGCCGTGAGGCAGTCCAGGCCAAGGCCGACACCTCCAGAATGTCACCGTGTCAACCTTTGCGAATTGGGTGAGGGCCTCCTCGTGAGCGAGGAGCAGCTTTTAGTGCCTCCAGATAGGTCGGAGGCGGCATCCTTCTTAGTTGCGCGGAAGGCAAAGCATAAGCGGCTACAGGGCGAAACAAAAGGGCGGGCCCGAGCTCAAGCGGGCATTTGACTTGGGCACGCACGTCTTTGAAAGGGAAAGCAAGAGGAATGGGGCTGACTACAGCCTATCAGGGGACCAATTCATACATGTTTCCTTCTTTCATGTTGTGGTTAATTGAAGTGAGTTACTTTTCGCGGGCCCTAGGATAGGGCAGTGGGCGGGGCCCGGCGAGGCCCTCACTGACGAAGGCGGCGTCAGGCGGAGTGGCTCGGAATCATGGTGTCCTGAGGGCGCAACATTTGCAAGGGGCCATGGATGGCGGTGAGACACGTGCTTATGGAGGAGTCCCGGGCACCAGGATATAGGCACAGTTGAGGGTGGCAGTTAGGGGTGGCGTGGGCCAATGCAGGGGCGGGGGGCCAAGAACCATCACCGCAGACGGGTGCCGAGGCAGCTCGCTGAGGTCGGGCCCAGCGCCGCCACACAGCGCTGATGCGACCCTCGAGGAGAGACTCGGCGAAGGACAGCTGAGCCGCAAGGACAGGAACGCCGACCAGCAAGCAACAAAGGCGGCAGCCGTGGTGGAGCGGAAGGGAAGGGGGAGCTCACGCGCTCGAGCGCGAGCCAGGAGGACAAAGGACGCAGCTTCCTCGCTCCACCGACCTTGCAATGACTCCTTGCAGTGACTCCTTGCAATGACTTTCATGATGATGATTCCTTGCAATGACACCTTGTAATGACTCTCGTGAGAACAACTCAAGTGAACCCAGCGCAAGAACCCTTCGCCATGCTTTTGGGAAAAACGGGATCAGAACCGCAGTCCAACTCAGACACGCCAGGCGGCTCCTGCTGCGTTCCAGCCGGCATTTGGCAGAGCGAATGAGATAGGGGTACGTTGGCTTGAGGCGGCGAGCGTTGCTACAGCAACACGGCCACCCCTACGGCAAGGCTGACCCTGGCTGGTCAATGGCGGGACAAGCTCAAGTTCAAGTTTGGGCTTTTCGGCCGCGTCCTCGCAGTTCCCCCCATGGAAGTTGTTTCTTCGCTTGGGCGGCTGGAGTGAGATGGGCTGTCCCAGAAGGCCGCGGCTTCTGCGCCTTCGTGGATCCAGCTCCCCCCCACTTGCCGCGAGGCCGTGGCGCACGCGGCAATGCTTTGCGTCGCAGGCAGCCCGCCGCTGGATCTTCGTGGCCAGAGTTTGTCCTCCTGGGCGCCGAGGCCGCAGCTGCCCTTCGGCGGACAGCCGCAGCGGGAGCCGCGGGCGCAGCTGCAGCCGCAGCCGCAGCCGTGACCGCCGGGACAACGGGCCTGCTGCTGCCGCGGCCGGTGCGGATCCGGCAAGGGAAACGGCAAGGGCAAGGGTGCCGGACACGGCAAAGGCAAGCACCAGGGCCAGCAAGAACACGTGGCTGCCGCCGCCGCCTACGCGCTCGCGGAGGCCTTGCGTGGCCACTGGTGAAACAGCTGCTGGTGAGGGGGCTAGACGCCACGGGAATCTTTACGTGGCCACGCCCGGGTTTTTAGCAGGGCCTGGAGAAAACGTGCGGCGGCTAGTTCCGTGGGGCGGGGGGCTTGGCGGGACAAGCGCGCGGGCAGCGATCCTTGGAAGGGCTGGCGAGTCGGCGAAGCTCGCAACCCGGGGCCCGAGCAGGAGACCCAGCGAGAACGCGCCGGGGGCGATAGCCAAGCTGGAATCGGACAAGGGGCCTGCGCCCTGCCCTCCCAGGGGCGCACGCCCAGTCTTTGGAGCGATGCGGGGGACAGCAACTGCGTCCTAACCCCCGGGGCTGGCGCCCCCAAATCATGTTCGCGGGCTGCCGCGCCCTGCGTAGCACCGGCCCTGCCTGGCGAATTCCAGCGGGAAGTCTAAGACGCGCGTGGTATCCGGGAGCGCGCGGTGGCCCGAAGGCAAAGTCCGCGCCAAAGTCCTCTGGGGCAGAGTCCGCGCCAAAGTTGGCTGCATGGGCTCCACTGTCTGCTGACGGGTGGCGGCCCGCACGGCCACTGCCACGACACCCGCGACGCCGGCTCGCTCTTACGAACAGCTCGGCGGCGCGAATGGCAGCTGCGAGGGACAAAGCCTCAGCCGCAACAGGCAGGCCGCCATAGGCCTCAAGCAACACAGCCTGCGCTGTGGCTGGGAGGTAGCCATCACGCGCGGAGCACGCCGCGACTGCCTCGCTGAGCGAAAGCGTCCGTAACAACGGGAGGCGTCTCAACGCGGCAGCGGACGCGACATCTTGCCCGCCCAAGGCAGCGTCGTCGCTGCCTGTCGCGATGGTGAAAAACATGGCGTGTAAAGCGCCCGCTGGCACGGGCTCGCGCGCCCGACCAAAGCCCGCCAGCGGTGGCCCGCAATTGCGTGGGCGGCCCAACGGGCAGCCGCTTCCGCCTGCAGCGTGCCCGCCGCGGCACGGAGCAAAGGCACGCACAGCCAGGAATTCCGGAGGCCCATGGTGCGTGCGTCGCCGGCACCGGTCCTGCCGGCGTCGTCGGCGCGGCAAGCGGCTCGAACCCCGGTGTGGTGTCGCCGGCCGCTTGCGGTGCAGCGTCGCCCGCGTCCCACGCTTCCTGCAGCCAGCGTTCAGGCAAGCCTTGCGTGGAAATTGTTCCTCTTTGCCCCACGTTGCTGGCACGTGGGGCAGCTCAAGGCGAGGTCGGTCGCGACGTGCTCACCGAGTCGCAGGTTTCTTGGCTGGCCGCTGGATGCCCCTGTTGGAAGGCGCGCGCGGGCTGGCAGTCGCGGCCGGCACACGCCCAGTGCGGCGAGCCGGCGCCGAGGGGAGGTGCGAGCAGGCCTGTGCACTGGTCCGCCGCGGAGAGCTCTCTCGTGCCAGGCAAGTGCTCACCAGCGCCCAGCTTGCCCCAAGACGTTGCGTCTGCTCACCGACCCGGAGCGGCGCCCGCCCGTGAGGAAGTCCTCGCTTTCCAGCCGGAGGCTCCCACGACCTTGTCGGCTGAGAAGCTGGCGCAGCGCTCCGGACAGCGCGACGCGGCACGGCGGCCGGGTTGAGCGGCGCCACTGCCGAGCACTACCGGCTCCTGCTGGAAAAAGCTTTCGCGACGGTCGCGACCCCACTGGCCCGTGCTGAGGTGCCGGGGGAAGCGCTGCAGGCGATGGCGCTAGCAAGGCTCACAGCGCTGCAGAAATCCAATGGAGGGGTGAGAGGCATTGCCACCGCTGACGCGCTGCGACTGCTTGTGGCCCGCACCCAGGCACGCAAGTATACCGCGCGCTTTGATAACGCTACCCGGCATGTTTTCCACCGTGCGCAGTGGTGCGAGCAAGGGGCTGCGCACTGAGAAAGCAGGAGCCATGCGCACTGCAAGTCAGGCAGCTCCGGCGGATGCTGCAGCAAGTCCTCTTCCGCCCGGGCGCGCTCGCCGCCCTGTACACCCTGGTCTTGGCAGCGTTGGTTTGGACCCCCGCTCGGCGCGCGACCTCGCCTGCGACACTCTCCAGAGCGGCCCGGGCACGAGGCGCGCTCGTCGTGATATACAGGTCGTCAGGGAAGGCAGCCAGCCAGTCGCCCTCGGACAACTCCGCTTGCGCAGCTTGCAGCGCATCACGCACCGCCAGCGCGAACAATGCAAGACCCAGGGCACCTCCTTGCTCGCAGCCTTCACCTGGGGAGATCCTGTGGCATGCCCCTGCGTCGTCCCACCACATGAGGAATGCCGCTCAAGAAACAGTGTCATACGCGCACTCGCCATCGAGCGACGCCACGACCGTGGGCCGCAGCCCCTTGCCATCCGCGAGCAAAGGTGGGGGGCCCGTCCTCTTGCGGGGCGTGAGCTGTGGCAGCAGCGCGAAGGCAGGGCGCCTGCGGGACCGGACGCTCACTTCAGCATTGCTGGCCCCTGGCGACGAAGCAGCCCGGGCCACCTTGTCAGACCCGGGCCGGCAGGCCTGTCCGGCGCCACGGTGGGCCACTACAAGATCCTGCTGGCCGATCAGGCCACGTGGCAAGGCGGCGACAAAGCTAGCCAACGCGGATGTCCCAGAGCCCATACGCGCCCAACGGTGGAGTGAGGGGCATCGCCACTGGCGACACCTTCCGTCGCCTAGTCGCCCGCACGCTTGCCCGGCGCTATGCACGCCGCGTCGATGAAGCCACCAAGCCGCACCGGTCCGCGCAGCGAGCGCGATCTGGGCTGCTTGCTGCTTTGTTCCGCGCCGCTAACGAAGTCGATTTCGCAGCCACCGTCGTGTCTCTTGACGGGCGTCGCGCTTATGACCCAGCGCGGCAATCGGTGCACTTGTGTTTGTTTTTTTCTTGTGGTTGGACGGTGCCATTCTTCATGTGGATGGCTGTGAGCAGGGCGACGTGTTGGCTCCTGCCCTGGCTGCCCTTTCGCAACACGCGGCGTTGGTGGCAGCCTCCCAGCTGCTCCGGCCGGAAGAGTCTTTTCCTTCTTTGTCCGCTGTCGTTTTATTTTTGGATGACTTGCGCATCGTCACCATGGCCATTCGCGCGCGTGCCACGCTCGAAGCGGCGTCTTCGCCCGATGAGGAACTCGCCTCAAGCAGGAGCAAGGCTTGCTGGCGGAGCTGCCCGACTTGCTCTGCAAGTGTTCCTTGGCGAGCGCGGCGGTGATTTGTAGAAAGTGCTGGTTTTTACACGATTTTGGCAGTGTTCAACGCAGTGCTGGCGCCGCTTGGCCGGAGGCCCGCCGCCTCGCTTTTCTTCCGGCACGCGATGGCCTTGTCCTCTTGTGTGCCACACATACAGCCTGTTTTCCTAGCGGGCGGCCTGGGCCGATGTTTTGCTGGTCCTGCTTCAGCGTCGTCCTGATTGCGGCGGAGCGAAGCTGGCCTGAGTGTCTGTCCTGGCAGGACATCCTGGCACGCGCGACCCCGCTGTAGCGGCTGACAGTGAACCAGGCGATTGGCCGCACGGCTGGCAGCTTCACGTGTGCGCGCTCCATGCCCATTTTTGCGAGACCGAGCTCTTGCCACACATGCGACCAAGCCACTGTGCTTGTCTCCGCTCGTAGTCTGGCCCGCGTGCTGGGGCTTGGCTTGCGGCTACGCGCACTGATCCAGGGGCCACGCAGCCCCCAGCGCGGCATTGCGGAGGCAAAGGGTTCCCGGAAACCATCAGGAATAACCCGGATTGGCGGCGATGCCGCGGTGTGCTGCGATGGCCCCAGCAACCGTGTCCAACGCCCGCCGGGCTGAAGAAAACATCGTCCAGAAATGCGGCTAGTTCCCCACGCGGTTGGAGAGAAGACGCCGGCCCGACCAACGCGTCGCGCGGCCCCAACGCAAACAACTCCGGCGCAAGCGGGTCCCCTTGATCGAATGCTCCGCGCGCAAGGGCTTCCGGGCTGATGTGCGGGAAGGCTTCTGGGGTGAATGCCGAAAGAGCTTCGGCGCCAGGTTGCCTGCATGCGGCGCTCGTCAGCTGCCAGGCCACCCGCCACAATGTGCGAGTTTTGCCCGACGCGCGCGAGCAGCGCAGGGTCAGCAAGAAGAGCTTCCAAGCCGAGCGATCATGGGCGGCCCGGATATGGCGCAGGGTGGCACGCTGGGAGCCTCCGCGCGCGCACGCCACACCTCCTTCACCGACCAGCTTGCGAGCATGGCCCGGCGACCTTCCTCCCACATCCGCTGACATTCAGACGAGACAATGTGGGCTGCTTTGAGAGCCCGTGTGCCTCCATCAGCCACTTCGCCGGCCACAAACATTCCTTTGGAGATTTTACCCCCGGCTCCGATAAGACTTCGTGCCGCTGCCGGCGCAATGTCTGCCGTTTGGCTTCCATCCACGGCTGCCTGCTGTGTGCAATTTGTCTGCTTTGCTGGCGTTGTTCGCTAGTTTGCCACTCCAAGCACTGGAGTGCTTGCAGGTTGGTGAGCCAGGAAAGGGTATCCTCGGTTCTCGCGTTTGAGGATTCCTCAAGTCTGAGTAGCGAGTGCGGCCAACAGAGTTCCGACCCTTCAGCTCCTTGCGCGACTCGTTGCACGCGTGGCAAGGACAAGACGAACTTGCCATTGTTACACGGGTGTGTCGCTTTGTGCTTCGGCGCACGCGGGCGTCCCCGACGGTCGTCGTGGCCCTTCGGCAGGGAGTCGCCTGCTGCACAGTGTCCGCACATGGGCTGGTAGAGCAGCGAGCGCCGACTGCAGCCGCCCGCCAGCTGTGATCGAAGCCTGGTCCGGGCAGGGGCAAGGCTTCCAGGACGTGGTGGCCAGCTTGCTCGTTGAACATGTGCTGTGCCAAACTCGTGCCGCATGTTCCGGTCACTCGTATAATTTGCCGTGGCAATACCCTGATTTCATGTTTGCCGCTTCACCGCCTGCTCGGACCTGCGAGCACCCGCCCAGTAGCTCGCCTGTGCCCACACGGGCTCGCCAGACTGCGCGGAGGCGGAAAGTGGAAAGTACATGATACTTCTAGGATGCTGAGCTCCAGCAGTATCAGGCAACGTTTGTAACCTCCTGCCACGTTGACCTGAACCACGAACACATTTTATCAACCGTTAGTTATAACCGCGGAGGGGCCTGCGACAGCGCGCGTCCGCTAAGGAAAAAACGTTGGTTGCGCTGACGTTTGTGGCCGACCTCCGGGTTAGCTTGAGAACTTCGCCCACATCTCCGCGCGCCGGATGCCGCCTTGAGAGGACGCGCGCCGGATGCCGCCTTGACCTGGCGGCCCTCTGTTGCCCGGGCACTTTTTGCTGCTTTCCCGAAGCGAACGCTGCCAGCGTTCGCCCTTGGGAGGTCGCTGCGGAGGTTGTCACTAGCCTGCACTCGCTCCAGCCCTCGCGGTTGCCGCCCGTAAACTCCCCCCTAAAGGTGGCACCTTTTTTCAGCAGCGACGCTGAGGGGCATGTGCGCCACGAAAACGGCACGCCAGTCTTCCGCGTGGAAAAAGCGAAGCTGATTGAAAAGGGCTTTCAGAGTCACAAGCCCCCCTGACGCTGCGACGGAACGCGCGTCATTTACGAATTGACCTGTGATGCTTAATAGTCGCTGTGCGTCGTCAAAAACGGAAAGCATCTCAGAGAGACCAGCGGAAGAAGACCGTCCCCCCTCCCCCCCTACACCAACAGCCCAACCCAAGGCAAAAATCCTGCCGTGGCTAGGACCAACGTGCTCAAACTCAATTCTCGGCAAGTCTGAAGCACTCTGTTGTGCAAGCATAAGCACCGTCAGGCCATCCGTGTGCAGCAGCTAATGCAGTCGGAGGAAGCTTTCTGCCAAGCCTTTTGCATACCACGGAAGAACTGTTTCCAGCCTTGCCCAGCCAAACCGGTGTCTGTCGCGCGCGCACCCGCCAACACGCAGCGTCTGTCCTTTGCCTTTTGACCTTGACTCGCTGAAGTCAGGCGACCCTTTAAAAAAGAAGAAGAAAAAAAACGAGGGGAACAAAAAAAAAAACGGGAACAAACAGCACCAGGCTGTAAAAGCACGCGTTATCAAACTATTGCCTCGACTGAACTGCCAAA